AGGAGGTAAACAGACGCACACAGAGACAGACGGGCTACAAAAAAAAGGCAGACATTTTTGCTGCCATAAATTTCAGAGCATGCGCATGCATGAAACAATCAGTTTCAAAATCCAAAGAACATCTTGTTCGCTTTCAAACGAGATATTCTTAGATTCATACCCAACAATGTGACATGAAAAAACAATCTGATGCTTCAACGTATTTCAGAGCCTGAGTTCTCTTCAGCTCACATCTCTTTGCATTGCTCGACTTATTGGTTCTTGTTTTGTGAAGTTATTGGAAATATTGGAGTGGTATCAAGAGTGCTTCCTGTTTTGTGAAGATAAAAGAAACTCAAACATTGACTGTAACTCATGAATTTAAGAATACATGAAATATTAGACAAAAAAGAAATACCTCTGTTCGAATTGTTTGACTTCCTTGATGTGGACATGTGTTCAAATACAGGTCAAATATGTCGCGGACATTTTTTTCCTGAACCAAAGAAAAACGTGCTCAGTCAATATACTGCATAATTCACCTTGATTTGAACCAAAAAGTTCTAAATGCCACGGTTGATGATCTAAAATATAAACTGCAAAAGCATAGCCCTAAATTGACTTAAGTGTGAACGTTTATTTAAGGACAGTTCCTTGTATATGGAGAAAATGAAACTGTACCACATATTACAAAGACAAAATCGAGACTAACTGCCCTCCAATTATACCTTTAACTTATAATCTTCATCTACACTCTTCTCCAACCCAGCAAGTCCACCAAAAGCAATTAATAAATCTCTGTCATATTATAATACAATCAAGTCAAGATGTATCATGGAATGAAATCACTCTAGGAAAAGAGGAATATATATATTTCTATATGAGAGCATACTCTGGAAGATTTTGTATAAATAAAGATCAAAGAAAGTAGATTTCATGGATATCACAACACAAAAAGCAATGCAAGGGGCCAGGGAACATGTCCCTTCAATGTTACTGATTGCTTGTTATTTATCAGACTAATCACCAAAAAGGAAATTTGGCTTCACTAAACGGATGAATATCAAAGCAGCCACATTAAGTTCATTTCAAGGACATAATAATTAAAGTAGACTCGCCATTATATGTTATAAATGAACATATGTGGCAGGATGAGCTAACCAACCCTTACGAATGGATACAACAGAGAAGATAGCTCGTCGCACGCCAATGCAAGGATTTAATATGAAAAAAAATATACCTAAAGATAGGTAAATTAAGCTGTGATGAATTAACAACTAGTCCATGCTCAGATGTACCAATCAAGTGATCATATCCACCCTGAGACAACATTATAGACGCTATCCTGCTGTTAGTGGTTGTACCGAAAAAAGGACATTGGGAATAGGCAGTGAGTTTACGTCATATTATAAGGAAGTATGAATACCTTGTATGGGCAATCAGAGAATACTGAACTGATATTGGAAGCATACCACACTTTATACCCCCAGTATGTACCTGTGTCTTCCCTAGGCTTGGAAGAGGAGACAACCTGGCGAGGTAAATCTAGAAAAACAACTTTATAAGCTTAAGACATATTTTCATCTGTACTGATTCTTCTAGACTGTAAACAAATTTAAAACATGCTGCACCATCTTAAGTCCAAACAAATGGTTTTTTCTAGAATAAGGCCAGAGAATCTGTTCATCCAGGAAGAAAACATTATTTCACTATTGAACATCCAGTAACGCAAAATAAAAAATTAAAAGAAGTAATTCCATTTTGGATGCAGCAAAGGCATGTTAAATTTGCGTTATCCAGTAAAAGGTAGGAGCAGGGCAAAGAAATAAATAAACCTGTATATCAAGTTAGGTTTAAATTTTCACACAATACCTATTAGGCTATTACATGACAATGGAAAATGAAATAACATCAGGATTTTCATTACCACAATCCAAGTTTTGGTTAGTTCCCATTGCAACAGTGACACTTATTCCAGGCTCAAGTACTTGATCAACCACAACATTCTGCATAAAGAATCATGAAATTGTCCAAAAAAGGTTGACAAGTATTACAAGTTTAATCCGAATGAGAGGGAAAAAATAACATGGTAAATTTTATGTAAAATCATCCTTGAGATTTCTGAATATAAATTAGACAACAATTACAACTTTGCATAAAGAAAATTCAGAAGCAAATACGATGCGTTTCCATTGCCAACTTTTATATGAAAATTTGTCTAGTGGTTGATATAAAATATTTATTGTAATGCCAATAATTGAATAGCATGAAATTAGGAATTACGAACTATGTTCATCAACAGATTGAACCAAAGAAGCATAGAGTTTAAGGAATTTTTAGCCAAAAGTAAAAAAGAAAGAAAAAAGACATAAACCATCAGTTATTAACAACTTCAAGGGGCGAACAAGAAGATTTCCAGGATAGTGCTAGGCTGCTGGGCATTAAGGAGCATTATGTGACCAAATAAATTCAGTACTTTCTTCAATTTCTTTTATTAGAAGTTGAGTAGAGTAGACTCACCCCAGTCTATTTGGGTTAAATTTGGCGCCTAACTATTAAAAAGAAATTATGCAACAAGCTTAAGTAAGACGCCCTCGAACGAGAATGGATGTACCTTATCTAAACCAACATCAACCACTGTTCCCACAGAGCTTGTGGGTTTTTCCTCAAGTGTGATACCTATAAAGTTATCACAACAATTGAAGTAATTAGACAAAGATTCAGTTCAAGCTAGTCATTGATCAGATCAAGCACTTCTTCAAGGAGGCAACAGAGTGATAAGATTCCCCATAGAAACCAGGCACAAGTTATTTACAATCCGGAACCTGAAATAATCTTATCATTGCTTTACAAAAGCCAATAACCTCAGTTTCCATTAATTTCCAATAGAAATTATATCTGAATTCCTCACATTTAAAAAGCATACTTATCAGTCCATATCTATCTGTCCTACAATTCACTTTTAAGAATTGTAAACCTAGTAAGAAATATATAACAAACAAGATAATAGAGGAGCTAAATTTACTTGATAATGTAAGCCAATTAGCTAAACATATCCAAATGAAGTGATCAAAAGAAAGCGGCCAAACTTTACCTTCCCGATAGGGAGCCCACTCATGTTTACGCAAATGATGTGGAGCATCAAGCGGTGGCAACATTCCCTGCAATATGCAAATAAGTGTAGAAATCGACTTTAAATTTCATTCCATTAAAGGCAAAAGAACAACAAAAAATTTCATCAAAATCACGAATTTGATATTCACCACGTATCTGAGGGTATTATGCTTAGGGAAAAGAGCTTTTCTTAGATTTTGTGGCGTCTCAAGATACTGCAAGATCCTAGCAAGAAAAGACGCCCCTCTATAATTTTCGTTCGAATTATTTTGATTCAAAAAGGCACCATTATTCCTCGAGCTACTCTTATTATCAAACATCACTACCTGCTTATACAAACCACTGATTACAGACTCTAACTAAATCATTGACGACTAAAATGTAGGTTCAAATAAATAAGAAAAAGTTATACAAAAAAAGACCTCATCGACCCGAAAAATAGTTGCAGCACGAGCAATTTGACCTGCCAACTTTAAAGAAAAACGAAAAAACAAATGAAAAATTGAAAATGTATTTCTTATCAAAAGAAGAGAAAACAGAGTGGATTAGTTACACGAGTGGCGAGCTCGAGAGATTGAGCGTTGTCAACGATGGAGCCAGCGACGGCTACGGTGACGCTGGAGATTTCGTCGGCTTTTTTGGTTTCGCCGTCGGTTACTTTATCTGCTTTGTTTTTTTTCTTCTTTTTATTGCGAAAATCGGCTATGGCTGCGACGGTGGCGGTGACCGCGGCGTTGACGGGAGTGAGATTCGTTAGGGTTTCAGCTGGACTGTTTCTGCTTCTCTTTTCTTGTTCTTTCCCATTTCTCAATTCGCTTCAGCTTTAGCATAGGCTGCAGTAGTTATAACAGTAAAAACTGAACCACGCTGTTGATGAAAAGGATTTGAGGGTTTTGAACGGAGATACAAATTAATATGTGGTTAATTTGTGGTTTTTACATTAAAGAGTTAACCCCCTATTTTAATTTATTACAATTTGAATCTCTGTTTTATAATATCATCAGTATCAAATGGACAACATTATTACAATTGAATAGATTTACAGGATTTGATCACAAGCAATTATACGAGCAGCTCAAAGAGCGGAAATCTATATTTCCCGTTATCAAAGCGGTGATGCACCACGCAGAGGAGAAGTAGATCAAGAACGAGGGTGTGAAGAGTTTGTTGGAAGATCTCCAAGACCTGGCATTTTGTACGAGTTTATGAACAGTTGCATCTCAAGCTCCACAAGACTCAGGCTCAACCCAGACCTAGCAAGATACGGAAACTCCTTCCTACCTGTTGTATCGGTAGTGGTTTCACTCCGTCATTTCTATTTAAAAATGTCATGATTCCCAAGATAAAAGGTATCACTTCTAGACTCAAAAGTCTAGCTACATCAAGTAGTATTTTGAGATTGAGTGAGACCTTGTCTTTAGCTGCAAGCTCGGAGCGAAAGAAACTGGCCAGGCTGCAACCTACTTCTATGGTGGAGGGAGCTGTGGAGTATGTTGGTAGAGACAATAGAAGCGATAAATGCTCAATTTATCATGACCTTATCAACTATTTCTCTCTATTAGTTGCAGGAGATACTTGTTGCAGACAGGACAATTAAGCATCAGATGTTTTAGCATCGTTCTCATCATTGTGCTTATATTGTCAACCGGTTTGGCACAGTGAAAAGTTTGAAGTATTTGATCAAGCAAATTCTTTACGTACTTTTCCCCCGTTAAAACAAGATCATTGGGGTTGTTATTTTACAAATATTGTCTTGGCTGAATTATTGCCAAGACTTCGCTATATCTGTGTGGTTTCTTTGTGTGAATATAACATCTGAGTTACCCGAATTTTTTGAAAAATTAAAATATCTTTGCTACTTAAATCTTTCCTATACTCTATGTCCGTATTCGACTAATCCAAATATATGCATGAAGATGATTTTTCAAATATATCAACTATCAGTTGGTCCAATAGAATGAGACCTTAGATCTGGGTTTTAAATCCTTAAACTAAATTATTAACACGCAGACATTATATTACACCCACATATAAATATTACTTCATAGGTATTACTACACGTACAACGTAAAACAAGGAGAGATTTAGTAGCAAAGTATGGTCTAGCTGAGGATCTTCTGTTCAAGGTACAAGCTTCAAGTTTTCTATGGAGCTTCCCTACTAGCAACCTCCAATCCATTACCTGCAAATCAAATTCTCAGATACGAACACCAGCCTGAATTCTAAATACTCATAGTGTTGTTTTGAGCTCTTAACTCACCGTCTGGATCAAAAAAGAAGACCTGTCTGACCTTTCCATTGGGTAGTGACCTCTGAAATGTCTGGATTCCTTTATCCTGACAAATTCCCACAGTGCCAAAGACTCATTACCGATGTTTAAGATAATTGCACCAAACCAAACATCTTCAAACTATGACCTCATTCTAAATCGGTTTCTGTACTTTAAAACCTACTAAATGAACTCCCACAATATCAATATCCTATTTAAAACACTTGGATCCGATTATAAACACTCGAATGCCTACTGTATAAACAGCTTGTGGATCAAATCATAAAGACATGTATACCAACTGCATAAATAAGTTGATCCTAAATATACTATACATCATACCCAGGCCCGTATTTGAGCATGGGCAAGAGGGGCACCTGTCCAGGGCCCCTCCTGCCTGAGGGCCAAAACTGTAAATTTATATATAATTAAAAAAAGGATAAATTATCTATTTTGTAACCCACCTTTTTTTTTGGCCATTTATTTTTTTCTTTCAAAATTATACTTAACGTCATATTTTATTTTTTTAATTATCTATCATTAAAAATTAATAGCAATGTTAATGTGATATTTTTAAATTATTTTTCAGTTTCCATTTATTATTATTTTATTATTTTTTTGACAAAATTGAGAAGGTTAAAATCCAACATTGGCCCATTAACAGCAATGTTGATGTGATATGTATTTCTTGATGTTTTGTATTTAAAATTTGATGTATTTATTATATAGTTTATTAAGAGTAATAAAGAAAAAACAATTTATAAACAATTTTATTTATTCTTTTCTTGTTGTTACAATTCAATTTTTTTTCTGATACTTGTTATTAGAAATCTAAGTTCTATATTCGCCTCAAGCCACTAAAATTCCATAAACGGTTCTGATCATACCCGAACCAGCACTTAACAATTAAATTATAATTTGAACTTAACCGGAACATTTTGAAGTTTGGGGACATTTGGTGCTAATAACCCAAATATGTAAGATTTTAATTTTAACACTTCAAACACGAAATTACCACAAAGCAAAAATAACCCAGAACTAATAAGTAATAACAAAGGATTAACGGGTACCTTGAGAGACTGAACAAAAGAATCGAAATTGGAAACGGTGAAGCAAATATGGTGACCTCTGGGGAGATTGCTCGGGTCAGCAACGGCCGCCGTGGAACTGTACGGACCTTCGGGAAGCTTCGTAAGTGGGTTCCTTTCGATCAGATGCATAGGAAAAGCTCCCGGAAGATTCAGCCATATCACTTTAAACTCCCCGAAATCTGGGCTTTCAATTTCCTCGAACCCAAAGATCTAAAAAAATATAAATACTCGATCGTTTTTAATCGTGAAAAACAGCGAATAAATGAAGAATTTAAACGAAATTACCTCTTTGTAGAAGTTAGCAAGGCGTCTAATGTCGGAGGATTCTCTGGATATGTGGTTGAGGGAAGTTGCTTCCGCCACCGCTGCCATTTTCTGGAAACTCTGTTTGCTCTGTGTTCTAAAATTCTCCACGGCTGTATCTTATATGACGTCTTTGCGGGCACGAAACGGTGGGGCTTGTTTCTTATTTTATGTCTTAGCGGGTCTGAAACGGTGCCGCTTGTACTCCAAGATGTTTAGTAAGAAAATAAATGTTTAAATTATACTTCTTATTTATTTTAAATATTCAAAATTTCTTTTTATTAATATAAGAGTTGTTTTTAAAGTTATTATTTAAGTATTTTCATTATTTATTTTTTTATAAAAATTCGTATTCAGTTATTGCTGGACATGCCGTATATATAAAAAAATTAAAGCATTAATCTTCTAGTCTCTAAAATTTTTAAATTACTCAAAACATCCTATACTTTTTATTTTAAATCCCTAAATCTCATATATCGTCCTTAAATCAACTACTACTAATCATTATTTTTATTCCAAATTCTTGTTAATTGGTTATTTCTCTTATTGTCACTAAAATTATATGTCGTCACACATCATTTTTAAAATTTGTCTCATAAAACCATTCTTCAATGAACTATTGTTTGACTATCACCGTCGATGAAATTATACCATGAACCAAAACTAAGTCGGTTAAATCTCTAATAGCGCGTTCGCCGCTTAATCTCCTGTCTCTAAGGGATTTATTAATTTAGGGATTTAGAGATCAAAGATTTGAGGATTTTGATAAATTAAAAATTTTAGAATTTATTAAAATTTTATAATTTAGTTTTTCTAATTTAATATTAATAAAAAAACTTATATCACTTGTCAAGCAATTATTATTTGATAATTTTTTTAAGAGTAATTAACGGAAATATTTTTTTAATGAAATAAGAGGCAAAAACCTTAACAGTTAACAAAAACCTTTAAGTAACGGAATTACTTTAAAATAGTAACTAAATAAAACTTTAAATATCTTAAATAATAACAGAATAAATCTTAGACACAAACATTAATTAAAATAAAATAAAATATCAATATAATTTAAATATTAAATTTTCTATTTAACCTTAACTTTTTATTATATTTTATCTACAAAGATGTAATCATAACATCAACAGTTACAGCAGCAGCAACAAGGTGTTTTTCTCGAAAAATCACCGGTGATTGATATATTTATCGATCTAATATCGGTCAGATTATATTTTTCGATCTAACACCCTTAGCAGTAAAACGCGTCTCCTACACCGCGTTATATGCTGATTTGATATCACGTGAGGTAAGATACACTCCTAAAACGCACCTTATACTGACATGAATACACGTGGGTATAACGCGACCCGGGCACGTAAGAGTATAGGCGCGGCTTTATTGGGGCTTAAATAAAACGAGACGGAATAGCAACTCAGAACAAAGACCATTGACCCAGAATCAGGTTTCTATCGATGTTGTTCCTTGAATCTTCTTATTTGCAGCTTTAATAAAGCAAGACAATAGCAACTGTGTTTACATTTCTAAAAAATGAATATATTTATTTATTTTTTAAAGACATAATTGCAACCATGTTTATTGGTAAATATAACTAGTACATATCTAAGTCATTACAAATAAAATAAATCACTACAGAGCATATAATAATTTTATGTTCTAATTACACATGATGGGATTTAATCGGAATAAGTACAAAGAAATCTTATATATATATATATATATATAATTGAATTGATATTTGATTAACTGATATAAAATAATTAGTTTAAATAAATATAGATCATATAAAATATTAACCTATTTATATGTAATTTATATATTACGTGTGCCAAGTCTTCTCAGCGGTGAGGAAGATCCGAAGCTCATGGTAAAACTGCTCCATGTGGCATGGCATTTGTGAAAAAGTTAAAAGAAGAAAATTAATTTGATTTGTTTCACAAGGGACGACCTTGGGTTCTTAAATTTCCAATGGCAGAGTTAGGTTTGTGTGTTGAATGTCACTGCTTCTCCAATATTTACTTCTCCGATAAAAGGTAAGGCGCGCCCCCAGGGTCACGCTATATCGTACGTGGCGTAAGGCGCGTCTCAGGGGTCGCGTTATACTTACGTGTATTCATGTCAGCATAAGGCGCGCTTCAGGGGGCGCGTTTTACCCCAAATCAGCATATAACACGATGCAAGGATGCGCTTTACTGCTAAGGATGTTAAATCGAAAAATATAATATGACTGATGTTAGATCGATAAATATACCGATCACCGGTGATTTTTCGAAAAAAAATAGCCCAGCAACAACACAAATTCATTATTTGTTTTTTCAATTTTTTCCCTGAAAAATCTAATCTTCATTTAGTTTTCTTATCCATCATTTGTAATATAATTGGCTATGTCTAGGCATGGTATCAAAAGTAGGTACGTGCTTGGCAAAAAATTAAAAATATGCAGTTAGATCCCTTAAAAAATTATAAATTGTAAGTTAATCTAATGGTATAAATGTCTTCTATTCCCCAAAGTTTTACAATTCATTCTTTTTATGGTTCTATCTCGAACTGAATCATTCAATAAAAATCCTGAATTCATTTAAAAAAAGTGCAGATTATATGTTGTTTTTTACTGTATAACAACAAGAACAAGCCTTCTTGATTAAATTAAATGACAATCATATAACAAAGAAAAACTCTGCCACCAACGTACTGAAAAGGAAACATGTAGTTAAAAACAATGCAAATATTTTATATTTTTAGGGTAGATTAACCCGTGATTACTTATCTATGAGCGATTTTAATATAATCACATATCTTTTAATTTTATTAATCAGATCACTTAATTATTAAAATGATGTCAATCAAACTACATGGCGTTAACATTTAACAGATGAGCTGACCTAGAACTTATTATAATCACATATTTAATCATTATTATTTATATATTATATCAATTTGATCTTAATTTTAATTTAATTTAATAATTTTAATAATCAAATCAAATGATGGCATATGTCGTGACATGACATCAATAACGAGGAATGAGTTATAATATTAATTTTGTTAATCATATTAATTTTTTTAATTATCATGTCAACTCATATGTAAAATATTAATGACAGTTAATTTGATTAACATCACATAAATAGTTAAATGACATAATTAATAAAATTTAAATATAGATGATTATATTAAAATCTTTCAATAATTAAATGATTACGGATGTAGTTTATCCATTTGTTTACTCTACAAGAACAAGCATGTTATTGTTGTTGTTATTATTACCGCCACCATTTCCGATTCCTCCTATGAACTCTCCTTTGGGCACTGAAACGGTAAGCTTTTCGTCCTCCTAAGTCACACTAGCCAGCTCTGGTTACGTCATCTCCGGTAACCCAAACCGCCACATGTCGAATTCTATATCATCCAACGTCAATGAGTGAATAAAATTATCAGACTGCCTTAATACGATCCTAATAATCCCGGGGTGATTTTCAATTGCATGAGCCCGAACAATATCGCCGACCCCTCCATCCGTTTCGGCCACGAATTTGAAACAGACATTAACAATAAATAGTAGTAGTATGAAATACAAAAATTATATGACAATATATGTTAATAAACTTTTTAGGCATTGATAATTTACCTACACCTAGTAACGACTGCTTAAACTTAAAATCTCTAAGAAAAACAAAACTTTATTCAATGGCAGAAACAAAAGAGTTAAAAATAAAAAAAAAATATATCAGAGATATGTAAAAATAATTCATAAATCTTATAAAATTCATATGTTAAGAAATTGTATGAAATAATATTCTAGAGCCGAATATGCTCAAGGATTCTAGAGCTTAGTTGTTGTTTTTTTATTAGTTTAGAGATATTATAAGGTAATATATGTTTATTTTTTTTAATTATTGATAACTCATATATACAATAATTGTTTAAATTCAAGACATTTAAAAGAAATAATATTTTTAACAACTAAAATCTTTTGATATGTTTGACCTTAGTTGTTTTTGTCAATGTTACCGAATTATTAGTTTAATATTAAGATCAAAGTATTTAAATTTAAGGTTTTACATTTGAGTTGTATTTATTTTATTATATCTTATTTTATTTTAAATTAAAATCTATCATGATTATAAATATATCTTATTTAATTTTGATCAAAAAGAGCACACCCGAGAAATTCCTTTGCTTTACTTAGGTTTGCATAAAAGACCAAACTGATTGTCCTTTCTACTCCAAAAGTCAGCAAAGCCCAGACTTTGTTCTAGCAATTAGAAACTCCATCTTTCATAACGCTGCTAAATACCTCCAAAAAACATCCCCAGGAAAAAAGAAGCTTCACTCTCCATTTTAACCTTAACTATACCAAATTGAAAAACTAGCTCAAAAAGTAGTATGGCAGAAAAAGAGGTAGGACCTGGTAAAGGAGGGTCTCAGGAGATATCATTGAAGGATAAAGGGAATGAGTTTTTCAAGGCTGGGAACTACCTCAAAGCTGCTGCTCTTTACACTCAGGCCATTAAGCAAGACCCTTCAAATCCCGCTCTTTATAGGTAATTTTTTATCACTTTCGGTTTGATTTCTTGAGATTTTTGTGCTTTATTGTCGAAATGCAATCTTGGGTTGGTTGTAAAGTTGACTACTCTTTAAAAATGTAGGTTGTTACTCTTTTGTATATGGATTGTGACTGGTTGTTGTTTGAAATTCTGTTCAATTGCTTGAATGCTTCCTGGATGGGAGTGTTTATTAATCTCTTAACATGCTCAAATACCTTATTGGATGTTAAAAGCTTATATTTTTAAAATGAAAACTAACCCTTCTGGATTTTAAAATGTGGATTTATTTTGTGTTATCATTTTTTTTTTCATTTTGACTTCTCTCTGTGTTCTAGATATGAACTTTTATGTTTACGGTTTACCTGTAATTTCTTCCTTCTTTGCACCAATGCTATAGTTTAAATCTACTTATCTTTTATTGAACCAGCAATCGAGCAGCAGCATTTTTAAATTTGGTTAAACTTAACAAAGCACTGACTGATGCCGAAACAACAATCTCGTTGAATCCTCAATGGGAAAAGGTAGATATCTGTATTGTTCCTTTGTATGAAGGGTGGTGGTGGACCTTGGGCGATTGCATTCAGATAATCATCAAATTAGAATTGTTTAATTTGTGTGTTTTTGGTATATTTCAAGGATATTTTCGGAAAGGATACATTTTGGAGGCAATGGAACAATATGACGATGTGAGTTCCTATCTCCCTCCTCAAAACTTTGACAAAGAGAAATGCTATTTGCTTATTATACGCATTTCTTATTATACTGATATTTTGAATATTAAATCGTTATAGGCTTTAGCTGCCTTCCAAATTGCTGTGCAATACAACCCACAAAGTGCAGAAGTCTCAAGAAAAATTAAGAGGCTTTCCCAGCTTGCAAAAGATAATAAGCGAGCTCAAGAAGTGCAGAACTTGCGGTCCAATGTAGATATAGCAAAAGGCTTGGAAACATTGAAGTCTGAAATGGTGAGTTCCTTGAGCAAAAGTGTATGCGTGTTTGTGTTTTATGTATGTATAAAATCTACTTATTTATTCTTTTCTTTAGTTGTACTGATCCAAGGTTTGAAATTAGGGCTTCTGTTTTATTTTCTCATTTGCAAATGTTGTCAGCTATATAAGACTATTCTAGTAACATTTTTATGTATGTGTATAGAGATTTTATATAATTAGTAGGATTCTTTTCAGTGTACATGTTGATGGAAAAATGGCATTTTCTCTTTGCAGTCTGAAAAGCATGTAGCTGAGATTCTTGGAAAGACATGTTTTCTTTTGTTGTCATGACAATGGAAACAGCTGTAAAATCATGGCATGAGACTTCGAAAGTGGATCCTAGAGTCTACTTCCTTCTCGATAAGGAGAAGACCCAGACTGATAAATTTGCTCCAGTTGTCAATATTGACAAGGTATTATTAGACTTTCAAAAACTATCTAACATATGATTACATTCGGTTCAAGAAATAGGAACTAAATAGCTATCTAATGCATATTTCAACCATATTAAAAGGAAAGCGTTCCCCAACAATATATAATGAAAAATTTATCTTTCCTCTTGTTGTAGGCCTTTGAATCACCTCACACACACAGCAACTGCTTTTCATTTATTAGGCAGTACGCTGAAGATTTTTTCTCTAGAGCAGCATCCTTAGTTGCGCCTAAAAGTATCATATCTTATCCACAGGTAACTTCTTCATATTTGTTCTATGTTGATATTATAACTTGGATTGTGGACATTGGACAGCCACAGAATGCTTTTTGATTCTCTTATATGCTACTACATATTTGCAAAATCTGCTTGTCTTGTGCAGTGTGCACTCTTTTCAATTTACTCCAGTGCAGTGAATGTAATTATAGTATACTATATATCGTTTGTATGTTAATTTAGGTAAACTGATAAACTTTAAGTTGGTACAGCTGGTTGAAGACCTGAAGAGTTGGAGAGCTTTGCTTTCAATCTATCTATAATAAAAGGAAACAGAATAATAGTTGTTATTATGCATTGCAGTTTATAATCCTCAATGTTTATTGCTAATGGTTCTTATTTTCCATGTTTTGCTTTGTCTTCCATTTGTTCATCGAGGAATGGATTAGTGCTTTTTTCATTTCTTTTAGTAGTAGTGAGGCAGCGTTGGGCTGATTCACAATCTGTTACCGGGTTAACAAAGCCTTTGAATCTTCTGACTGATCTTATCACAAATACCGGAAGCCTTTTGAAGAAAATTCAAGTATTAGTGCTTAATGATATAAATTTATCTTCATCGGGGTTAGATTTTCTATACGAGCTTGATATGTTCGATTAAATCCAAAGTTTGCAGATGTTCTTTGCTTATTAGCTGAAAAAAGATGTCTCTAGTCTTGTTCAATTTGCATGCTATTGAGAGTCCTGCCATCACTGAATCTAACTTGAGCTTGAAGGATCTAATTGCTTGTTTACATCTACTTGATGGTTTATTCAGTGCATAACTCAAGATTCACGGCTACGGGGTCTTTGATTCAATGCTCTCTTTGTAGGTCTGGAAAGGTCAGGGTTCAAGGAAGTGGAAACATGGGCAACATGATGGTTTCTTTGTTCAATTTGAGTCACCGATCTTGAGAAAACTATGGTTTATTTCAAGTTCCTATGAGATGGGGAAGACATTGTGCAGGTTCCTTCAGTCCCTCTCTTTCTCTCTCTCCATGCGTGCTCGCAATCAGATCCAACTTTAGTACTCTAAATTGCTAAAATTTTTGTGACAGTTGAGAATGTCTTGCTGCTTGTCCAATGAATGTGGTCCCCCGAAATTTCATTTGGTGAATTCATTCTCTTAAAATATTTGCCCATCTGTTAAAAATAGTTACGTTCCTAATCGCTGCAACAGGTGAGAATTTGTTCTCTCAAACCTGTAGCCTTTCTGAAAGTCAGAAATAAAAAATCAGTATGCTTGATCTGGTCTATTTGATCCTAATGCTTCAGCAATATATTAAATATGCTATGGTGAAAACATGACACTGATTACTCCCTTATTACTTTTTTTTAAGAAAACGATTTGAGTATGGACATATTTGTCAATTTCAGGGATCCGGAGGTTCTAGATATAGGTGCACACGAAGTACTTCCTCGCCTTTTCAAAGAAAAGCTGTCCAAGTCTTGACGAGCCTTTATCTTAGGCTGAAGGAAATAGCCAGACGAACTGGTGGGACTTTGATTGCAAGGTTACCCGACAACAGAGTTCTTGTTGCTTTGCGCTGGACATGAATTTCCTTTTTATATGTTTAAACTCGCCAGCTAGGTACTTTTTTGGAGCCACATAGCACTCATGTTCTTGATTTTGAAAATTTTCTAAAGAAGTTTACGGGCCTTTTACGAGCTATAGCATTTTATGGGTGTTTCTTGAAATTGATTTCTTGCATTTGGTGGATTCATGAGTTTCGGTTCTCGAGTTAGTTTTATGATCAATTCTTGTTCCATACTTTTGTGTTAGATGTTGGAAGAACAGCAAAGCTAGTTGGTGCAGTAACTTATTATTTTGTTTTCTGTTGTAATTATATATTGAAATTTACCAAGAATGACCTATGTAGCTTTGACTCATATGTGCATGAAGTGTTTTTTTAGCTCATTTCCCCCTTGCTACCATACCTTTTATATTATATATAGGCTTATAATCTCCATTTCATGGACTATTCAATAAGGTTGCCATACCCGGGTCCGAACTCCGATTATATTGATGGAACACAATGTGTAAAACAAGTCCGAAATGTGGATGTATATCAGTCACAGACGTAGGAGTTTGGCTAGTTGCACATAAATTGATCATAGGGTTCTGCTCAATAGAAAAGAATACGAGTTGAGGGTCGAGGGCCGATATGTGCTTCGGCTTAGAAGGCTTCAATAGGCACAGCATCACAGATTTCTTTCAGATCCTCTTTTGTAACCTTCAATGCCTACGGTCCGATATTGTCTTTAGTGTTCTTTAGTCATCCCTGCAAAAATTCGTCTTCGAAAAACAGGATTTTAAGGCTCAACAATATTGATATTTTTGAACACTCAATTAGAACATTTTAAAGTTTATAGACCAATTTGACAACCAAAGGATAGTTTAGAAACATTTTGATGCAATTAACCCGTACTTGGTATTCAACTTTGCTTCCAGTTTTCCCTATTTTAATATATCAGAATTTGATCCTCTTATTTTATAAAAGAAATAAAACATTCAATTAAGTATTAAAAGTTCAAAAGTTTATATAAAATAAATTAACAAAAATTAGTAGTTCTTTTATCCTTAAAAAATCAATTATTCAAGTTCATGTGTTTACAGACAAATAGATTAATTTCTCAAATTTCATAAGATGGAGGGATGAAATTCTGAATTAAACCATTCTTTATTGTGTTATTTCATGCAAATATCTTCGGGGCAATACCGGAAATGAATGTCTTAAAACAACTTATTCTCAGTCTCTGGAATTTAACCGATTTAGCTTCTCCTTCCCTCGTATTAGCCACTACGTCGCCAATTTCTCTCGTTCGTCATTGATCAATCAATAAAGATCAAACAAACCCATTTAAGTATTTAGTTTCTTTTCGGATCTTTGCAAGGAAATTAAAGGAAAAGAAAATGCTAGCAGTTTTCGACAAATCGGTTGCTAAGAGCTCAGATGGTCTCAGCGTTGGCGAGCAGTCTCAACTCTCAAAAATGGCTTCTTGGTTAATCATTTTGCCTCCGTTCATCCTGGTTCAGTCACCAGCAATCTTGGATCCTCGGGTGTCATGGCTTACTCTCGTGAAAAACAGAACCCACTTTTCTCCAGGTAAAAAAAAACTTTTGCTATGTTGGTTTTGATCTTCTTTCTTTAATCTAGATTTCAGTTTTGGATCCTTTTCTTTCTGTTTTTTATCGATCCGATCCAGATATTTTCTGGGTTTTTTGCTTATTGTTTCATTAGTTGTTTTCTGGGTTGTGTTGTGATATAATTAGCTTCTTTGATCATTTTTGTGCTGATAACACTCCATGGTTTCGTTTACTGTTATCAGAAATCAATATCTCTCCGGTGATTTTCGAATTGGTATGAAACTTTATGAATTCAATCTAATTCAGTAAAGCTACTGATACCATCAATATATTAAATTATAAAGTTATTGACTATAACAAATAGTTAACAAACTTTAGATTTATTTATTTAGAATTGTCTTTATATAAACACAAAAATACGTTTAGAACAAATTGTTAACAAATAGTTATTGATTGGATTAGGTTGGGGAGTTCTAGGTCAGGCGTCTGGTTATTGCCGGATCATACTTATGATAAACATTTCCTATATCATTATTATGACAAGAAAGTTTCGGGTTTGTTCGCTTTTCCATTGTTTTCTCAATGCAATAGAGATTCCGGAGTTGAGATTTCGATCATTTTCTTTCCAAGTTCCCAGACTTTTTGCTGTTCTGGACGAAATCTTCTGCGTGTTTCAAGGCCATATCGACAATGTCGCTGTTCTTAAGCAACAATATGGCTTGAACAAAACAGCAGATGAGGGGATTATTGTTATCGAAGCTTATAGAACTCTTAGAGACAGAGATCTTTACCCATCTGACCAGGTTGTAAGAGATATCCAGGGGAAGTTTGTTTTCATTCTCTGCGATAGCTCCTCGAAATCTACATTTATAGCTTCTGTAAGTATACAGATCTTTTTCGGCTAATGCCATAGACGTGTCTAATATTTGATTTAACCATCGAGTTTCTTCTCCCTTATGATGGCAGTTTTTTACCCCTTGTCTTGTGCAGGATGCTGATGGAAGTATACCTTCCTTCTGGGGTACTGATGCCAATGGCCATATGGTTCTCGCGGATAATGAGGAGATCGTGAAAAAGGGTTGCGGGAAATCTTCTGCTCCATTCCCGAAAGGTAAAACTTAGGGACTATCCCCTAATTCGTCTTCAATTACTAACTCATATATGACAAGCTTAGCCTCACTTTTTATTCACTTTTAAGTAATCTTGTCCGGGACAAGTAGGTGGAAAAAAATCCAGGCAAACAGATTCCGGGCAAAGATTTGTGCCAGATATCGGGGGTAATGTAGAATGACATAGCAATAATCGATGCCGAATGAGAAAATGGGGTGCCATAGAAGTTTCGATGCAATAGCAATTTAGCAGCATCAGAATTCAGAACCTTATTGCTGATGTTTTTGTGGTTCGGGTTTATTCTTTCAGGGTGCTTCTTCACTTCCTCTGGAGGGTTAAGGAGCTTCGAGCATCCCTAGAATGAGTTGAAGGCAGTGCCAAGTAAGGACAATTTGGGACAGGCCTGTGGCGCTATGTTCTGCGTGTATACAGAGACGAAGAAGGAATCAACTGGAATGAAGAAGGTCGACAGCGCCGCAAACTGGTCAGCGAACTACTGAACTCGGAAATATCTGTCTTCTGCACGGCTTTGGTTTTGTCCGTCTTTCTTAGTCTTCATTCACTCCCTTCGTTTCCTATCTCAATGATTTTACTAAAGCCGCATTTCATGTATTTGCACATGTTTGCTTACTATAAAACGACACTCAGCTTGATCCGTGTTTGGGCAAAGGAAATAACTATCAATACTTTACGCGAATTCGGCACAAATCTGACTTGACTTGATTCATAAATAAATTTAGTATTTTATAATTACATAAATTCAACAAAATTCGAAATCAAGTGAGATTAGACATTTAAACGAAAACAAACTCTCAATGTCTTGTTTCTCCCTCAACAAGATTCAAACCGATATTACTGGATAAAGTATACCAGAGCCTATTGATCTATGTTCAACTGATTGTTTTGTTATTAAATTTTAAAATTTTAAAATGATTATTAAATAATAATTACAATGTTCTAATATATTTAAATCTTTAATCAATTTAATAATTATTTTGTTATTATTCGAGCAAATAAAAAAGATTTAACATAAGTAAATTTAAAAGGAGTGGATAAGAATATGAATTACGGGTTCGAGTTTAAAAGGAACAGAGTATCTCACTTTATTTTATTTTTTTGGGATAATTGTATCTCACTTTATCAGTGTATAACAGAAGAATATATCCGCTCTCGAGCTCTCGCGTGTGTTTCGCACTCAATGAAACCCCATTTTACCAACCCCGACAACGCGCCAACACTCGCGTTAACCAAACACATCAACCGCCTTCCTACCGCCACGTCAGCGCTACACGTTGGACCAACTAACCGCCAAACCCGCTCAAAAAGAAAATTAAAATTATAAATATAAAAATTGTTTGTAATTGTTTTTGATGTAAAAAAATGGATGAGATATTCTTCGATCCGATGGAGTTCTTGAAGAAACAACCGGTAGCCGACACATTCGTCGACATTTTGTTGTGCGCCGTGCCTATATGGCTGGCGGTAATGATCGGGCTCGCCATCGGCTGGTCTTGGCGTCCGAGGTGGACCGGCTTGGTTTTCCTCGGCCTAAGATCGAAGTTCCAGTTCATCTGGACAGCTCCTCCCGGGTTCGGAGCTCGCCGACTCTGGTTCGCCTTCACCGCACTCTCTGCTCTATCGGCCTTCTCCATCTTTCGGAGGATTTTCTCTAAGGTTATGAAAGGGAGATCAAAGATATCGGCAGCTTCGGCTTCGGATTCCGCCGTTCCATTGCCATCGCCGCCGCCTCCTACATTGCGGATTTCGCTGGAAGGCGCCGCTGAAGCTGATAGGTTAGTATTTATTTATTTTTCAATGTGATTGAAAAAAGAACCATTTTTCATTGGATGAGTCTGAGTATTCTATGGTTGCTATGTTTCTTTAATGCCGTGTGATTTGTATCAAGCTAAACATCATTTAGACTTTATAATAAAACTTAAAATGTGATGAAGCTAGTTTTAAGAGATAGTTACTCCAAGGATTTTGATGAGGTTTTATAATTAGAATCGCCTTCCCTTGTTAATTTCTGCAGTAATTAAAATCTCCTTATGTTACCATTGGAATGGTTAACAATGTTCCATGCATGAGTTTATTAATGACTAATACGTATTTCTTTAAAGCCGCGGTGGTAAAGCTGAAGAAATACAGCAGGCTATTGTCACGGAGAATGACTTAGCACACCTCTTGCATTTACTAGAGGCGAAGGATGGGGAGATGGAATGGCAAAGGATGATGGAAAGGACTACTTCAAATACGTCATACCAAGCTTGGCGCCAAGAGCCTGAGGTAGGTTTCTGATTTCGTCTCTCTCTTCAAGATAGAAAGAGAGTTGGGGTGGAATTCAGAAACTTGTGCTCTCTGGTATTTTGTACCGAATTGCTTTGAGAGCTTATGAGCATCACATTTGTTAGTCAAGTAGCATTTGAACTATGGTTGAATGTAAGTCATTGTTATTCATCAAAATTTCACATGTTCTGAAATCCAAAGATGCAATATGCCTGATAGCTTACATGATACTTACTGTTTCTGTGTTTTTGTTGGATGGAAATCTGTTTTTTATGATGTTGTATGATACCTGATGGTCTTGTAAATCAAAACATTTATTACTTTCTAATGGTGATTTTGTTTACTAGAGTGGGCCTGCAGTTTACCGTAGTAGAACTGTCTTTGAGGATGCAACTCCAGAAATGGTTAGGGATTTCTTCTGGGATGACGATTTTCGACCGAAGTGGGACACTATGCTGGCATACTTCAAAATTTTGGATGACTGCCCTCGTACAGGGTCAATGATTGTTCACTGGATAAGAAAGGTAGATGAACTGAATGGTTCATATAATTTTGTTTTAAAGCACAATTCTTATTCAATACTATATACGGACTATAAAATATTTTAACTCGTCTCATCTTCTTGTAGTTCCCGTTTTTCTGCAGTGATAGAGATTACATAATTGGTCGAAGAATATGGGAGGCTGGAAAGACTTTCTATTGTGTGACAAAGGTACAGGGAACAGGCTATAATATTCTTTTGTTTAGTTGGATCTGCCAACTTTTTTTATGAACTATACTCCTAATGAGGTTGCTGTCAGGACCTGTTGGTTTTACCAAATGATTTTGGTACCATATCCTGGTTTGCCGAATCGTGACAACATTCAATCTATCATGTTCTAGGGGGTACCATATCCTGGTTTGCCGAAGCGTGACAAGCCAAGACGAGTGGAGCTTTTCTTTTCAAGTTGGATTATCAGGCCTGGTAGGTCTCTGCCTCTGTACCTTATATTCTAGTGATAACAGCTTTTAATTAATCTGTGATGCACAGTGGAGTCTCGGAAAAGCGATGGACAGCAGTCCGCATGTGAAGTTACTCTCGTACATTACGAAGACATGGGGATCCCGAAAGACGTAGCCAAATTGGGTGTTCGTCACGGGATGTGGGGAGCTGTGAAGAAATTGCACTCTGGAATGAGAGCATACCAGAATGAAAGAAAAGCCGATGCTTCATTGTCTAGATGTGCACTAATGGCAAGAATAAGCACAAAATTTTCTTGTGATGACAACACAAGTTATCCTGGTCCTGTTTCAAGGGAAGACGAAAATGATCAAAGCACCGTTATTGGGAGGAAGAACAACAATGGCCTTAACTGGAAGTTGATCGCCGTAGCTGGAACCGTGGCGCTGGCTTTCGGATTCCACTCGGGTGCAATCGGGAAGGCTTTGTTAGTTGGAGCCGTGCAGAGAAATGGCCGGCGATGAGAGGTTTTCTTACATTGGTAACATGTGCTATTTTTAGTGGATTTTGATGTTTATGGTAGGTTTTTTCTGCATTGTTTTTATTGAACAAAGGATCTCTCACATGAATAAAGTTGGATGAAATGTTTATTAATACAATATACTTATACTAAAATATCTTTATATCAATGTTTATTAATTTGTATAGGTTTAATTAAGTTTTTCCAATAAAGTTAATTATTTCTTAATCATTTGATTTTTTTTATTCACTTAAATATAATATATTCTACTAACACAAATTAATTTGAAATAATACGAACTCACAAAAACTTAAATAGCTAAAAAAATTTAGATTAAAAGTAATTCGAGTTTAAAAATATCTAAACTTGAGATGATCTACTAGATCAAATATTACAACATATTGAATATTACAAAAAAAAAAGTATTTTAAAATTATTATCTCAAACTAGTTTATTTTATTCTTAGTGTTAGAATTTAATCTTATAAAATTTAACTATAAAGAGTAAAAAGAAGAGTAAAATAAGAAAATTAGATTGTACATTCTATTCAATTTATTAGTAACAAAAGTACACTTCATTGACTGTGAAAAGGGTAGAATACAACGGTTTCTTCTTAAAACGAACATAAACCTATAGATTTTCTTGAAGGTACACTTTCCCTTTTACAATTGAAAGTAAAAAAGATAGAATACACTTGTGTTTCATGCAAAATTTGCAGCTCAAGTCCCAACCAGACCCTTGAACCGAGCATAGGACATGATCAGTATGAACACAAACGCGGATAGTAGCCCCGAGACGACAACCACCTGTCGATGAGAAAACACGGGACGACAGAATGTTCAATCACCAGACATGGGAACCGAAACGGATGTCGCCTAAAATTGATGTCTAGCTTAACTGATGTGAAAACACTTTGCTTACCCATGGAAATATGTAATCATGGTCTGTATTCCATGAATAAGGAATGTTCATCCCAAATATTGCAGCCACCAAAGAATAGATGGCTAGAGACACGGTTCCGGAACTCAGAAAGAGTTCTAACTGCAAAAGGGATATATATTTTTTAAGAAGCTCGATTCGATATCAGTCTAATATGTTAGAGAATGAAGAATAGCACACCTGGATAAGCTGATTTCTGTGATTGTCGAGCTGCGAAGAAGGAAGCTTAAGCAACAATCAACCAAAAATATCATAATTTCGAGTTTTTACGCTTATGAACGATACCTGAATGTTGATGTAATCCTCTGTATCGTCGATATATTCCCGCAGCTACATAGTTCCGGATTAAACAATGAAATTTAGAAATGTAGATTTCAGAACATTACTGTTAGATAGCAGAAGAAGATGAGTACCGTGGTTAATTTATTCAATGTACCATCGATTTGCATAAAGTAAGCCTGTAAGACAGAGTAATACTGACTTAGCTTAGGGGTGAAGGAATCGTTAATCGAGCGTAAGTAAATCGCTAGTTTAACCTCGAGTAACATTCCGAGCTCCTCGACGTCATTCTCGTCGCCACAAAGTGTTGCTATACTTGCCTTGGAAATCTTTGATCCTATGGTAGGAGAGACGTTATACCGATTGGCTGCACCAGATCCACTAACTGGTGAAGCTGCAGCCAACTTTCTTGACAGATAAAGGTCTGACATGTCGTCGTCGTCATCCAGTAGTTGTTCAAGTTCATCCCTCACCTTCAACAAATGGCAATGGTTACACAAATGCTGCGCATGATAGAAAATGTTTCACATAGACATGTATTAATACCTTTTGTACCCGAGCAGTCAATCTGGTCATTGCACTCTTCATTTTACGAACTTTATCTAAATCACGACCACTAATCTGCATACAGTACAGTTTACAACCGAAAATAAAGTACCAACAGGCCAAGATGAAAGACGATGAACTTCTTCGAATTTTGTAAAAGAGAAAAGCATATGTGAAATAACATTTACCAGGGAGGTAAGCTCATCTAAAGCAGGGTAAGCTGCAGTCTCTAGTTCTAGTGTACGGGCAGCTAGAAAGCTACATATGGATTCCAAAGCTACCTCCAGTGCTCGGAATTCGAACGGAGAAACTACATGGTAAGGTTCAAAGGATTCAGATTTCGAAGAAATAAAATCAGAGCGTCATATATGTTGTTATATAAATAATGTTAAGGATGAATTTGCCGAGACTGCTTGATTTTCTGGACCAATACAACATACCATCTTCAACGCCTGCATCGAAGTCGATTCGGGCACTCGTTTGCTGTCCTTGATTAGCGGCATTCAGTATAGGCAGACGCCTCTGAAGTTCTTGAACAACAGGGACAACGTATTCATCCGACGGGTCTCGGAGCAATACCTATAGAATACAATGCAAATCACCATCGGAACAAGCAGTCCATAGTACAAAATCTAAATCAAAACCACTCCTAATCCTCTTACACATTATCATTGAGCTGAAATAACAGACCATATGAGATTATGTCATCCGAAAACACAGTACCCCATATTCAAGAGCTCAATTCTTGCTACAAAAACTATGAAATGAACTTCTTTTCAGATCTGTTTATTTCTAATCTACTTCAGCTACAAAACCTTCTACTACAGAACCTGATCAACGGATTAAAGGCCAAAGTCCGATAGCAGACGGTACTCCATAGTCTTTACCTATGTTACTCGGACTTTTCAATATTTTCCGAAGTATCCATGCTAGACACTTGTTATGAATAAGAATGATCCTCCAATTATATGAATCGCACACCACTGTCGAATCTAGTGACGAATCCAAAAATATTTTTGAGGGTGAATACATATATGTTAATAAAACAAAATTTTTGAATTTGGTGTACACAAATAAAATTTCAGGATGAAAACTATTAGTAAAATAAGTAACTAACAGAAGAAAATTCGATTTTAGGGTGGGCAAACCAGCTGTGTGGCTTCGCCACTCGGATCATGTACGTCACACTTCCAACACTACTCAAAATTGAGTAGACGTGTACTATTTTATAGCTCAATCTTTTCTATAAATACATTAAAGAAATAAAGAAAGAAATTTTTTATTTTTTCCTAATTTTCTATCATTCCATTATTCCATCTCCAATCCCAGATATCATGAAGAACAAGAGAATTAACATTTTATTTCTTTAAAAAATTGAAACCTAATTGAATTAACAAAAGGGAGGTGAACCCACTGACCTCCTCTGAGGTAATAATTGCCTTGATGTGCTGCAAATCAAAACAAACAAAAAAAGTTCAGAGAAATCAAAGAAAACAAAAGAAACTAAAGAAAGTTGCAAATTTGGGACCTCCAGATTCAATACAATAGCTCCATCACGGCCGAGAATGGTCGAAGGGTAAGACAAGAGTGGATCGAGTATGCGTAAATCACGGGCGTGGATGTTAACTCGGTGCATGATAGCGTACTTGTCGACGTCGAGCACGGTGGTTTCTCCATTGCTGTCCAAAAGAACCCAACTCTTAGACGGCTGCGCCTTCTTCTTAACCGTCACCATCACCTGCGGGTCCGCCGGCACTACGTGCGTCGTCATCTCTAACCATCACCTTTCACACCTCTCCCGCGACCAACCCCAAGTCCCCGCTTAATTTGTCATCAAAATTCTACCAAGAATAACAGTTTTTTTCTTGTCAAATTCGTAAATGTTTTTAACAGTTTGGGATTTTCAATCGAAATCGAATACAAAACACTAAAAAGGATGATTTATAGGGGTCTGGGAATTTATTCTCGTTTTCTTTATTGAACTGTGTTAAAGTTGAAACGAACGTGTGCATGAAGTGTTATTCGTTTTTCAACTTACACGTACAATTATTATACGTAACGAGATCCTGGTTTAATGACTACCTAGATTTTCTTTGATCAAGTTGTCTGACTTTTAGTGTTTTAAGTTGATACATAAATTACGTACGGGTAAATTTATGCTCATATTAATTGAGTTAAAATTAAATTTATTAACCTATGTCGTTTTCCTCAAAGATCTTAAATTCGAGCATGTGTATGTAGTATGTGTGTATTGTCAGTAAATGAAGAAAAATTCTAAACATATATTACCTTTTAATTGCTCCAGTCTGTTAAAAAAATTAAAATTTATATTGATTTCATTATTCATCGAATTACACTCTCATATTTAATTTTAATTATGTATAGATTCGATTTTCATCATTTTATATAAGTGAGATAAACTAATATTAAATTGATATTATTTATTATTATATTAAAAACTTGATTAAAATGTTCCTATTATTTTAAATTATTATTTAAGATTAAAAGAATATTTATGCAGGCCCCTTTTAGAATAAAAAGAATAGGCATATATATGTTAAAAGTTGTTGTGATGTTTTAAAACTTAGTTTTAAAGTTATGTTTTTTTTGTTGATAAAATTGAATTATTATATTAAATGTTATTTGAAAATCTTCACCAATCCTTTAAAATTTATTCAAAATTTAAGTATCCGAAACAAAAATAATAATTTAGATATTAAACTAATAATTTACCATAATTTTTATCCGCAAATATCTTTCTTTCCGAGTCAATGTGTAATCAATGGAGTCTGAAATAAGATTTTCATTTATGCCTTTGTGATGGGACTATCAATCCCAGAAAGCTCCGTATTGCAATCCAAACCAAACCAAAACAAAAACAAAGAACCTCTGACCCTGTCTGTATGATGTTGACGACCAATAGCACCTGCCCATGTTCCATTGCTCTCTCTCACATACATTGTAATAACCTGTCCAAACATCCACACACTGATATCATCTCCTCAAATTTATTCAACAAAAAAAAATAAACTTAATATTTATTTTTATATTTTAATTTCTTCAAATGGCAAAGAAAGTCAAATCCATGGGAGGACGAGGTTCCACTTACAGTAAGCAGTGACCTAACATATAACATGGTTACCCCTCCAATGGCATTTTCACCCTCCTCCCTTTGAATTTTATTCCCTCTTTCTTTCCAAATCTCTAAATCCACTTTTCTTCTTCTTCTGAAACCACAGACTCTCTCTCTCTCAGGTATCACCAGTTCATTGATTTCTTTTGATTTTCTTTTATTACAAAACATGACATGATATATGAGCTTAGATTGTTGTTTTTGTTGTTGTCTGTTTGATGTTTACTAGGTCTGACTTGAACCAAAAAGAAAATCCATGGAGAGGAACAGTTTTGGTAATAGCTTGAAAGACCATAGTAATGGCTGCAATGACGACAACAACGGAAAGAACAACCAGACAGGCTACAAGGTTAAGGATCCGGGTATCGGAGACGATTTCCTCGCCGGGTTTTCATGGCCACCAAGGTCTTACACTTGCAGCTTCTGCAAACGAGAATTTAGATCGGCTCAAGCTCTGGGTGGTCACATGAATGTCCACAGGAGAGATAGAGCCAGGTTAAGAACATCACCTCCAAGTGACTGTCATGCTCATCCCCCGTTTTTGAACCTTAATCTTAACCCTAACCCTAACCCTAGTTTTTCTTCTTCTTCTTCCACATTTCCTCCCCTTCCTTCTTTGTCCTCTCCGAAATGGCGCGTCAACGGTACCCTCATCGACTCTTTGGCCTTGGATTCGACCCGCGTCGTCATGAAGGATACTACGAAACCGATTTTTGGTGTCAAAGAACTCAAAGATTATGGCAAGTTGATGGAGATGAAGACTGATCATCATCAGTATGTAACCTTGGAGACTGGTCTGGTTAGTGATTCAAAGGAAGATTTGGACTTGGAACTTAGATTGGGGTACTCATAGGCCTAATCAATGTATGCTTTTCGATTTCGCATGCTCATCGCACTCATACTCATTCACTGGGAATTCAACTGGATCATCTTCAACCTGCAAATGTTGCTGCATAGCATATATATATATATTAATCTACATGTCGTGCCATAAATGAAGCATGCTTTTGATTTCCATAATATTGCATATCTTTTAGTTAAGAAAGAAACATCTTTGTCTGAACCTCGGATTTAATCCGACTGGTTAATGCAGTCACCTTTGAAAGGCGCTCGGGTTCGGTATCCGAAACTCTTTTTATTATTATGAGACTAGTTGTAAATTATGATGTTTATTTTTAATTTTATATTAACATTAGCATCATCTTTTAATTTATTTTATTTTTTCACTTGGTGTGATGCTTCAATTGTTAGGTTAACCGTGTACTCAACAACAAAAGCAGTTGGATTAATCAAATTTTAAGGAGGGGGGGGGGGAGTAAACAGTTCAAGATGTCATCTTTTAAAGTACTTGACCTACTTAATGCTCAGATCTAAAAAAAATATAACAAAATTTATAACGTGATTGGTGGTATCGATCGAGAACGAGTCTTGTGAATAAAGAAAATAAACATTTCAATAAATTTTTTTCAGTTTAAGAGTCTTACACAGTTCAACTCCGAATTTAGTCGAGAAGATTCTTCACACAAGTCCCAACTCCATTAAAAGGAAATATTTACACAACACTAAACACCATTACTTATAAAACCCGAAATTTGACATATGTGGCCACAAGCGAAACGAAACGTACTTACCAAAATATTAGTGAATACTGGATGAACAAACTGGCATTTACCAAAACTTGAAGTTGCATGATTGGAACCACGATAGGATCATGTTGTTAAAAGGAAAAGCATGGCACTTTTCTTTTTTATTAGTTTGTTTGGATCGATGGTGGACGAAATGTAACATTATTGAAAACCAAGAGAAAAGGAGTTGTAAAGAGGAATATAGGGAAAATTTGACTTGCTGCAACTTTTTGAACAAGTCATTTTCCATACATTCACTTATACTCTGCATTATTTGCAGTCACCATTGCAGAATATTATTATTGGAACCAAGTTCCAACACCACATGAGTGCATACTATAATGTCACAACCCATAATTCCCGAATCATGCCTTTGAATCTGCAACGATCTGAATTTTCGAATCAACATTTAAACGTCGACCCGAACCACGGAAAGATCAATTAGTATATATGATTAGAGGCGTTGGATAAAATATGAACCTAATTGGGTTTGAATTCGGCCAAATGTACATAGAGAGAGAGATTTTTTATTTGAGAAAGAAGCTTGGAGGATTAAATATGAAATTAAACAATTGAATTGAATGTTTTAACTTTTTTCACCAATGGTTAAATTCCACATTTAGTCCTCAAAGCTTCTTTATCAACTCAAAAATCTCCCTTTCCTGGCACACCTGGCCGAACTCAAACCCGATTAGGTCCATATTTTATCCAACTTTTATAACTGTACATACTAATTGATCCGTCCATGACTTAAATCAATGCTCGAATATTAAATAAAAATTTGCATCGTTATAGATTCAAATGTCTGATTAAAAGTTTTAAAAAATAATCATAAAACCGTTAGGACATACATATATAATTTTCATACATTTGTATCAAAACCCTAAATGTGAATAATATTATATTAAGCACGTTAATTATATGTAAACATATAATATTATATTATTTTCATGTACTTATTGAATGATGAAAATTATTCAATGCATGTAAATTTGTTGGTGAAAGAATTGATAATGAAATTGAAACGTCAGCTCCAAAAGGGCTTTGAATATAATCACAATGATTCCTCTTCCACAAAATATCTTAGAAAAAACCAAAGAAAGATTTCCCTCAGACAAAACTTGCAAGCTTTTGGTACCCCATGGGACAGTGAGTACAAAAGTGATGAAATCAGTAAATGAAAAGAGAAGTTACATAATAATATGAGGAAGTGAGTGAATGGAGGATTCTACACAAATAAAATAAAATAGAGCAATCCCCATCATTCACACACAACTAAAAAAAATACGAATTCTTTATTTGTTAACTTCTGATACGATATGATTGTATGATCTCGAGTATCAAGCATGTCATTGATCTCATTGAGAACCGATGTTAATGCATACTCAATCGATTGAATTAATTCATGTTAGTTCGTTTATGAAGATATCGAGATCTTATATTTATAATAGATATGAAATACGATACTAATATTCGGGTTGATGTTGTATGTAATTAGGGTTTGTGAGTTATTGGATGCCTTTTTCCCGAAATCTGATAGTTTGCATGTTCCCGACAATGTCAGGGGGGCGACGAATGGTATGATGGGTTTTCCTTGAAAGGGAATAAAAGGCTTTGTGAGTTTAAAGCATTACAGAGAACTCAGAGACCCAAACTCTTTCCAAACATGGCATTAGGTCAGGACACAACACAACACCACTCATATACTTTACACACACTACGCACCACTCATAATATACATAGCCCTATCATATATAGCAGTCGGGAAGTTCTACAGTGCGACACCTTTAATACACAGTTAAAAAAATGTGTTATCGGTTTTGTTATTATTTAAATAACAAAATCGGTAAAAAATTACCTAGAACATTATTATTTCTACATAAAACATCAATGCATTTTAACATTTTCGGTAAAGTGCCCAACAATAACAAAACCGGTAGAAAAAAATAACAAAACCAGTAGAAATAATAATTTTTCCGATATTTTTTTACCGATTTTGTTATTTAAATAATAACAAAACTGGTAGTGCTTTTTTTAGTCGTATATTAAGGCTGTCACACGTGATCATTTACCATAACAGTCATATTCGATTCTATTCGTATAATTTTATATGTTATTAGTCAATATGATAATATGTTGTTAAAAATAACATTAATTTAATTTTTTATATATTTTATTGACGATACATAAATTTTTATCGTGAATCAAATATAAAATTGTAAATATATATCTTAACTTATTAAATTATCATATGGACCTACTAGCATGGGGGCAGAGAATGATTTTAAATAAAGTCTTCACCAAACACTTAGCTAAACTACTTAAATTTGTTAAACAAATAATTCCTCGTAGTCATTGGAGTATTGGTTATTTAAAGAAATTTGGTTGATGAGGAAATGCAGTCATTAAAGGATAAATTAATTTTAATTGAAATTATATTGATTTTTTTTAATCTTTTGGGATAACTTATTTCATGAAAAATACGTGATAAAAATCTAATCTGATAAATAAATTATTAAGAGAGATTATTCCGCAAAATGAACATAAATGCTATATAAAAGCCCAAAGAATAATGGGGAGTGGTTTTTTTTAGCTAACGTGGGTTACAAAAAATGAGATGGGAATATAGTGTTGGGCCTTTGATCCCTCAATTGTTTTTAGTGAACAAAACCAGAAAAGATAAAATTATTATTTTAATCCCTATAATATATTAAAATTTAATATTTGATCTCTTGTTTAATTTAATGCAATTTAGATTTTTAATTTTATGATATTATTATTTTTAATTAAAAGAGAAGTTCTAAGCCATCAACCATAAGTACAAGCAAATCTACCATATGGGGGATTAGAGATACCGAACTAAGGATCATTCTTTTATTACTGAGATTGTTTGGTTCGTAAAAATAATCATTTCAGTAAATTTAAAAACACATAAATACAATAATTAGAGTTTATAATTATAGTAATTTAATTATTTATTAAAACTTAAATTTTATATTAAATTCTATACAAGTGACAAAAATAAATAACTAAAAAAATTGTCAATTTAAATCTAGCAAATCATTTCAGTAAATATATATATAGCAAATCATTTTAGTCCAAAAAAAATCTAGTAAATCATTATTTGCTTGGTACAAATCCAGTGGAATAGAGCCAGCAAATATCATTCTTCCTAGATATAAATCCAATGGCCGCATCATTGTTGACCTTATCAGAAGAAAAAGTTATCTAGAAATATGGTCCCTCACTCCTCCATAGTTTTCTTCATGAAAATATCTTAATTACCACAGTGAGCACCGCAAGATTTACGATAGATATTACTTTATATATTGGGGAGGATTCCTCTTTACTTTCAACACACACAAAGTAGAATATTAGAATGGAGATACTACTCTTTCTCATCGTTCTTCTACCCCTCCTTTTTTTTCCTTTTCGTTCTCTTAAAACATGGCAGCAATAGCAATCTTCCCCCTACACCACCTGGTCTTCCTATGATCGGTCACTTGCACATGCAGTTGTTCGATAACTCATCCCCTCATATTTTTGTTTGGAAACTCTCTAAAAAATATGGCCCTCTCCTGTACTTGCGATTCGGTTGCAAGCCCACTGTTGTAGTTTCTTCTGTAAAATTGGCTAAAGAGGTTATGAAAACCCATGACGTCGACTTTTGCAGTAGGCCTGATCAACGTGGTACCCGTAGATTATCTTACAATCGCTTAGACGTGGCCTTTTCACCGTATGATGATTACTGGAAGGAGATCAGAAAACTGTGTTGTGCATCTCTTTAGCAGAGTGCATCAATATCGACCCATCCGAGAAGAAGAAGTTGCGCGCCTGATGGAAAAAGTATGCCAATTGTCTGTTGATTCTAAGCCTGTCAACTTGAGTGAGGCAATGATGTGCCTTTCCAGTACAATCATTTGTAGAGTGGCCTTCGGCAAACGGTATGCCGAAGGAGGAGCTGAAAGAAGCAGGTTCCATGGGTTGCTTAACGAAAGTCAAGCCATGTTATCAAGCTTTAGCTTCTCTGACTATTTTCCTTTCATGGGTTGGGTGGATAGATTCACAGGGTTTCACAATCGCATGAGAAGACTTTCAAAGAACTCGATATCTTCTATCGGGAACTCATTGATGATCATCTTGACCCAAACAGACTCAAACAAGAGCAAAAAGATATAATCGATGTGTTACTACAAATTTCCAAGGATACCGATTTTCCATTTGATCTCACCATAGATCACATAAAAGCTATTCTTATGGTAATAACATCACATCTCCACTTAATAATTTTTATCATTAATCAATTTTATCTCCACAATTTATTCGTATATAACCTTATTTTTTTTCTTTATTTCTGCAGTAGATTGTGTTCATCGCTGGAACAGACACATCAGCGGCCGCTGTGATATGGGTTATGAGCTTTCTGATGAAAAATCCAAAGTGTTTGAAGAGTACTCAAGTGCAAGTGAGGAATTTGATTGGAAAAAAAGGCTTTCTAAAAGAAGATGATATTCAAAGTTTCGCTTACCTAAAAGCTGTGATAAAAGAAACGTTCAGATTGCAACCAGTAGCTCCATTGTTAGTGGCACGAGAAACACTAAGAAAGTGCAACATGGGTGGGCATGAAGTACCTGCCAAATGCTTAGTGTTTGTGAATGCATGGGCAATAGGAAGAGACCCTCAAGTTTGGGAAAACTCAGAAGAGTTTTGTCCTGAAAGATTCATTGACAGCCCTATCGACTACAAAGGACAACACTTTGAGCTCATACCATTTGGTGCAGGTAGAAGGATTTGTCCTGGAATGCAAATGGGAATTGCAACTGTGGAGCTTGCACTTGCTAATCTTCTTTACAAGTTTGATTGGGAAATGCCAACAGGAATGAACGAAGAAGACATAGACTTTGATGTCTTACCTGGGATCACCACACACAAGAAAAATTATCTTATCCTCGTGGCTAGGAAGATTAATGATTAATCAATGTATCATTGTAGTAACGTACTTGCTACTTGCTCTAGTTTATACTTTGTAGAGTTCCATCCATATTTTACTAATCAAAACAACACAAATTCACGATATAATGGACAAGCTCACATCAACAAATACCTCTTGAAGAAGCCGAGATAAACAAGTGTTTCCTATTCAATTATACACGTTTTTGAAAAGAAATCTCTTTCTTTTTATCTTTGAATCAACTCTCTGCAAAGACCAGCAGCATCCTCCCTATAGTTTGACTTGCCATCTTTGGTTACAAACTCAAAGAAAAGATTCTAAATCATCTTCAGCTATACACTTGAACACATTCTGGGAAATACCTGGCCACAATAAATAGCAGGTCAGCCTCATTTTTTCAATCTCAAAATGGAAAAAACAATACTGAATCTATCAATACCTGTAGTTTGAGTGTGGACGAATCAAAACCGAATTTTTCAACTTTACTTTCAATCTACTTCCCTCGGGGTCAGAACTTTACCATCAATTAGAGCAAAAGGTATATGGGAAATCTTGGACCATTCCCGTTCTTTAAGTCTCGTACACTCTTCTTTTAGCAATGGACATCTGTTAACAAATATCCTTCCAAGCGAGAGAAGCATGTCTTTTGCCGGAAGAGATGTGAGCTTGGGACAGTCGCTGATATACAATTCATCAAGAGAGGTGAGGTGTTGAAAGCCCTTGGAACACATGAATTCCAGATTCTTGAAATTTCTAATGGTTATAGATATGAGAGGAGGAGGCAGCGCCATTCCTATCCCTTCTTCTGGAAAGGACGCAACATTTGAGCATTCTTCACCGCTGATTTCGAGTTGCTGAAGAGAGGTAAGTCTATGCAATCCCCATTCAACAAGTGAGCTATAAATTTTGGGTGCACCTGAGATTCCAAGTGATGCGAGGTTGGTAGGGAAACCCTCTTCTGGAAAGGATATGTCAGCCCCACAGTTCCACACCTTTAATTCTTGAAGGGAGGTGAAATTGTTGATGCACTTTGGAATGGTTCCAAAATTTTCACAATGCTCAATCTCGAAAACTTTGAGATTTGCAGTGGGGAACCCAATTTCGTCGAAACAAACCACCAGATTTAAACAATTATGCAGATAAATCTCCAGGAGATGGTTGAGCTTGTCTAATCCTCGCGGTAAAGATTTAATATTTTTAGAATCCGCCACTTTAAAAATTTCGAGATCAATGATTTCATATAAGTCTTGTGCCACGCATTCCAACTCTGGACACACCAAAATATATAGCCTTTTAAGCATCACGAGTAACTTGGAATTTAAAAATAAGCTTCACAACTTTGGGCATAGCCAAATTTGGAGATGTTGAAGCCGATTGCATATATCACCCCTTGATGATAACCATATTGGAGACTGGCAGCCAGTAATTTTCAAGTGCTCAAGAAGACAAGTGTTACTACTACTCATACTCTGATCAAACAGATATTGCAAATTATCACAACTCCAAATCCTCAGTTCTTTTAGTGCAGGGGGGAAGGTACTCTCTGTAAAAGAAACCAAGCTTTGACATCTTCCTAGTTCCATTCTTGTAAGGAATGTGAAAACATGCACCACTTTTGGTACAAATTGGAATCATTAGTTCCAAAATCTGTGGAGTTTGCAAACCTCAACGTTCTCCTCTCTGCTGGAATACTAGACTTTGAAATGCTTGAAAGAGTCGCACTTTGCAAAGAGGTAACCTCCTCCACAGGTGAAGATGAGTATTCATCCACCAAACTCTTCACACCCTTCCACGCTTAATTCACGCAGTGATGGAAAACTCGAAATTGAAACTACCAATCTCCTGCACTCTTCGATTTCAAGTGTCTGCAAGGATTGAAGACGGGTTGGTAACCTTCCCAACAATTGAGGACATTTTTTTATAGAAAGCTTACAAAGGCTGGGAAACTTGGAAACTTGCTCATCACCTTCACAAGCGTCCCACTCTTCCCAGGTTGGTAGACTTAAAAGACGAAGTCTCTAAAGATCCAAATGCAATTGATTGATTTTCTCCAAACAACTCAATACCAATCTTGAACACCTCATCCAAACCACCAATCGAAAGATCTTTTAACGATGAAAGCCTTCCAATCGATGGTAGAGATTTGCAATTTTTACAACCAAGTAGCTTCAAAGATGACAAGTTCCTCAATGAATCATCTGCTATCCACGTGGAGAATTTTGCACCACCAAAATTCAAAATGGTTAGTTGCTCAAGCTTTTTCGGAGGATGAAGAGAGTCCAACACTCGTTCTTCAACTTCTTTCTTCCTTGTAGGTTTCTCAAAGTCTCTACTCCATTGAGTACCAACTTATTGATCCACGATTTCTCATTTAACCTGGCTTCCCTTGCATCTTGACCATTAACATTTTCTAACCACCAAAGACAAAAATCACCTTGAGGTTTGACAAATTCTTCAATTCTTCAATACGATGTCCATCGCCTTCACCTATAACAAAATCAGATAACCTTTGAAGATTGGTTAGATTGCCAATTCCTAAAGGCATCCTTTCTATCAAGTCCGGACCTCTAATATCAAGATAATGCAAATTAACAAGATTTTCCATCTTCGATGGTAATTTTTGAAGCTTGAAACACCCTTCTAATAATAAAGTTTCCAAATGGTAAAGAGTACATAAAGAATCATGTAAACATTTGATTTTAGTATGGGAAAGATTCAAGTAGCGTAGATGTTTAAATTGAAAAATTCAGGCAACTCAGTGATCCAATATTCACACAAAGAAAGCACCCTTAAGTAGCTAAGTTTCGGCAACAATTCAAACAAGACAGTATTAGTCAGATAAAAATGCCAAGGATGCTGCTTTAACGGGAGAAAAGTACGCAAAGAGTTGGCTTGATCAAATGCTTCAAACATCTTCACTGTGCCATGTTGGCTGACAATATAAGATGAATGACAAGAACGATGTGAAAACATCTGTTTCTTATTGTCCTCCAGCCTGAAGCATACATCTCCTGCAACTAACTTAGCCAAATCGTTTATAAGGTCATTCATGACAAATCGAGATTTATCTGAAAAAATGCCCTTGACACTAGATCTTGAAAATATTGCTTTCCAAGATCTTTAATGTGATGTTCAGCTTTTTGTTGCAAGAAACCTTATGCACTCCATAATAAGATTATCTCCTCTTCTTCGAATTCATAATCTTTTGGAAATATGGAGCAGTGTGCAAAGGAGCGTTTCAAATGAGAAGGAAGATGATGGTAGCTTAATCGTAGTGCAGGAATTATGCTGCTTTGATTTTCTGGTAAGTCCCATGTCTTGCTCTCATATATTCTTTCCCATTCATCAAGATTCTTGGTTGTACGTAAGAAGCTTCCAATGGCTTTTGCTGCTAAAAGTAAGCCGTTGCACCTTTTCACAATGTTCTCTCCAACTTGTTTAAATTGGAGTTGTCCATCGAAATTTCTTGCTCTTAATGCATGCCGAGTAAATATGGACAAACAATCCTCTTGTGATAGTTTATCCAAGTGAAAAGTGTTCATTGGATCTACAACAGATGAAACATTTTGAAGACGAGTAGTTACAATAATCTTGGTCATTGCTCCGAAGGGAGACCGTAAAATGGTCAATCATCGAAACACTCATTCCAAAAGTCATCTTAAACAAGTAAGATCCTTTTTCTAGATAACTTCTCCAACTTGACTTGAAGTAAATTCAAGTCATTCACATCAGGTGAGGAAAAATCTATGGATTGTAAAATGGTTATGGTTATTTTAACAGCATCAAAGTCATCGGAAACACATACCCAAGCCTTGTGATCAAAAGACTTATCTACGCTGGCATCATTGTAAACAAGCTGAACAAGTGCATGTTGTTTTACCCATCCCTCCCATGCCAACGATGGAAAGGACGCAAACTCCATCGGAGTTATTAGCTTTGAGCAAATCAATCATTTCTTGCTTCTCGTTGTCTCTACCAACATACTCCACAGTTCCATCCACCACAGAAGTAGGTTGCAGTCGGTTTCTTTTGCTGGGAGCTTGCAGCTTGAGGCAAGATCTCACTCAACACTAAACTACTTCTTCGTGTAGCTAGACTGTTGAGTCTAGCAGTGATCTCTTTCATCTTGGGAATCATGGCATTTTTAAGTAGAAATGAGGATGGAGTGAAATCAATACCGGTACAGCAGGTAGGAAGGAGTTTCCGTACCTTACTAGTGGTGGCCTGAGCCTGAGTTTTTTGGAGCTTGAGACGTAACTGTTCATAGGTAAACTCGTCCAAGATGTCATCTGCATCGTAAGTCAAGTCTTGGAGATCATCCAACCAGCTTTTCACACCCTCGTCCTTGATCTGCTTCTCCTCTGCGTGGTTCAGCACTGCTTTGATATCGGGCAGTATGTATTTCCACTCCTTGAGCTGCTCGATAGGGATTTAAATAGCGTTAGAGGTCACGTTTTCGGTCGTATCGCGTTTATCGCGGTTGCGGATATTACGGATGTCATCGCGGTCACTGCGGGTGTCGTAGTCGTGAATTTTTTTAAATTTCGCACAAATTATCTTAAAACATAATAAAAATAATTATGACTATAAAGAATCGTTTTTAATTATTTTAAGAATGTTTTTTAAGCGAAAGTGACATATATTTAAAGAACATAAAATGGTTAAATCAAATATAATTAAAATAAAAATGTAAAATTTAAATATTAGAAATTTTGATTACTCAAAATATGATTAAATTAAATGAAAATTAAACTTTACGATCTAAATTAAGAATTAAATTATAAAATTTAAAAAAGGTGAGAGATATTAAAATGAGAAAATAACAGTGACAAAAAAATTATAATTAGCATATTATAAAATTTATTTTAAAAAAATGGGGTGGGAGTGGGGCAGCTGTGGCCTTCAAAAATAGCGTCCCAGCTTTCATATTCCTATTCTCATCAAACTTTCCTTATGGTTTCACAAACCAAACGTTTTCAATGTTTCACATTCACTCACCAACCCAGAACTAAACTTCCCTGCTTTCATTTCCTGCAAGTTCCAATCAGATGAGCACGAAGATTCCTCCTGGTATTGTTTCGTTTCCCTGGGTATAACACCTCTCTTCCTTTTACTTTTTTTCTTCCTCTTTCAATCGTAGACATTTCAGGCCGTCATGGGAAGAGAAGAACACAAATTTTTTTTCTTCTAATTTCTAAACCTAGATCTAGTTTCTTTCAACCGTAGAAATTTCTGGCCTTTTTGATTGATTTTGTTTTATTTTGCAATAACGGTGGAATAACGCTTATAGCATCCCGTTATTGGGGCTTCCCATCGATACCCGTAAAATTGCGAGCGTGATAGACCGTTATTGATGTTAATCCGTTACCCCCCGCTAAAATCATCAATATCAGTTTCGGACGGCGATACTACCGCAAAAGTCTGATATTTGAAACCCTAGCTCGTACAGTTGCTTGTTATCAGCCACAAAGTTGAGTGCAGCATCGGTGGACTTGCCAAGCAACATATACATATCCACGAGCTTAGAAAGAGCAACTTCTCCAATGAAAGCCAAGATGGGGTTACAGAAAGACACTGAAGATAGAAATGATGAGCAAGCAAAAGGGAAGAAGAGGAGATGGATTCTGTTGTAGCGGTGAGAGTGGAACAATATGTTTTAAGCGTCCGTTAATCGAGTCAACGAGGCAACTAGTTGAAGTCATTGAAAACTCGGATTCTTTTTGTCTGCCTGCAATTATTTGTGGCCATGTGCCATACATTGGACCAGGAGAATATGCTATTATGGTCTTTAAATTTGAGTTGTGGCCATGTGCTATACATTGGACTAGGAGAATATGCTATTGTTGCCTTTACATTTGTGTTAATATTAATTTCAGAATGTGTTATTGTTTCAATGTAAAGTTAGTCAAAGTCAAATAGATTTAGGGGTTGTTTGTTTGGCTTTAAATGGAATCATTCAGTCATTCAGCGTTGAATACTGAATTGTTCATCATTCAGCGTATTTATTTCTCACCTCTGAATGATTCAGTGTTGATTGATTCAACAAAATAGTGTTGAATGATTCAACATCAAAATACATTCTAAATCATTCAGAGCCATTATCAAACAATATGTCACATTCAGAGTTAATTCATACAGAACTTCTGAATTATTCAGTATTTGAATCATTCAGCGCTTAATCATTCTGAAGTAAACAAACAACCCCTTAGACAAATTTCAGTATATGTATTACTTATGCCTTGTCACTACAAGCAACATCTAAATTTTTTTCAGCTAAAAGCAAGCAATATAGGAAAGAATTATAGTATAAACGAAAATAGGTAATTTCATTGCAGAAAATTTTTAGAACTTCATAAAGCATCTGAGGTACTAACATTCTTAGGACGAAATTATCAAATTTGTTGTGAGAATGGTGGCATAATTTCAAGTGAAAACTCCGTTCATTCAAAACCAATTGAATAGTTGATTAAGGAGATTAAATCAATAAGGAAACATATGATTGATTTATAATTAGAATCATGGTATTCATTTAAATTTCTAGCATTCTTGAAGTTTAGGGTATTTTTCTTGAAACGAACATTGAATTCACATTTAGGAGGTTAAAATGAACTTAAAATTTTATGGGTTGTCGGAAACAGTAACCACTGTACAATAATGAGAGACTTTGATATTATTCATGAGTTAAATTAATATTTTATTTAAAGTTCAAGAGTTAAATTAGTATTTTATCTAAAATTTAAAAGATAAATAAGTGTTTTATGCAAGATCAGAAGTCAAGTTAAAAATTAATCTTTATTAGCGTGTCACGTTATAAAATTAATGGTATTTAACATCTCAAAATGTTACAAATTGATAAATTGAATGATCGAAACCTTATAAATCGATAAAGTGAATGATCAAATCCTTATAAATCAATAACATAAATAAATTGTTGTCCTTTTTTCCCATATGTATGGGGTAAGGGGGAGGTAAGATAATAGGCTATCCCCAACACCAAGTTGAGAGCAGCTTCCGTAAGAGACCTCCGAATTATGAAATGCCTTCCGTGGGACTCGATCCCACGACCTCAAGGTTAAGAACCTTGTGCTCTACCAACTGAGCTAGATGGTCATTTCAACATAAATGATTAAAATATTGTTTTCTAAAACTCGATGACAAAAGTAAACACTTATAAAACAAAAATGACCATTTAGATAGTTTACCCTAATATATATTATATTGTCTAAAGGTAAACCCGGCGTAGTTTCCAATGCTTTTAGCAATAGCGTAGAAAAAGTAGAATCTCAATGTGTACCTTAGAGAAAAGGGCAACCTCTTCATTTTAAAGTTGACCGGTGATGGTCAGCACCGGATTAACCCGAATCTCATCGGCGACCTTCTGTCCCTTCTCTACCAGGCCAAGGCTCAAGCCACTCTTGGCTCGGCTCTCATCACTTAAGGCCAAGGCAAATTCTTCTCCAATGGCTTCGACCTCGACTGGGCTCAAGCCGCCGGATCCAAACAAGGCGCTTCGGAACGGCTACTGCACATGGTGGAATCGTTCAAGCCCGTCGTCGCCGCTCTTCTCAGCCTCCCGATGCCGACCATCGCCTCCTTGACCTGCCACGCCTCCGCCGCTGGATTCGTCCTCGCGTTGTGCCACGATTACATCATCATGAGGCGGGACCGAGGGGTGCTTTACATGCCCGAGGTGGACATAGGGTTAACAATGCCCGATTACTTCAACGCGTTGTTTAGAGAGAAGATCGGCGACGCCTCGGCTCGCCGCGATTTTTTTCTGCGGGGGGTGAAGATGAAGGCGTACGAGGCGGTGAAGAGAGGGTGGTGCAGGCGGCGTACGACGGTGAGACTGAAGTGAGGGCGGCAAGCATGCGTATGACGGAGGAATTGGCTAAGAGGAAGTGGGACGGCGAGGTTTACGCCGAGATAAGGAAAGGATTGTTCCCCCAGCTTTCTGCTATTGTGGGATTAGGCCTCAAAACAATCGCCACTCCAAAGCTCTGATTGAAAGAAAAAACAAAGAATCTCTAAGGTATGATTATATTGTTTGATTTGGGTTTTAGCTTTGAATAAATAGAAAGTTGTTAAACTACTGTGTTGTGCAATAAGTTTATATCAATAATAAATTGTGGGAAAACAACAATTCTTGTCATTAAATTAAACACAAAAATATTTTTCATTAATCTCTTCGTCAAATGCTTCAAAGATAACAACAAACCGGGTTTAAGTTGGCAGCTTAACTATGAGCATGTGCATCTGAAATGATGCAATTCATTCAAAATCCCTTTAAAATTTCAAAACACGAGTTGATTTGATCCGAATCTATTCGATTTATCCAATTAACAGGTTTAAGTACCCTGCACTAGTGTTCTATGATTTGGAAACAGCCGAAACTAGAATGATGAATGAAACCGAGTAAACAGAGGCAACTGTTTTCACGGCTGCTACTTTGATATATTCTAGCAGTTTTCGACCTCGGGACTTTCTTCCTCAGCTGCCTCCTCGTTATGAGTTCTTCATCCTCCAGAAGAAGAGTAATGCTCCGCATTGTGCAACACTGCCATTAACGAAAGAATCAATTAAGTTTACACTTGTAATGTGCGTGGAACAATTTAAAGATGCCTATGTAAATACCTGCACAAAATCACCGAGCAGAACCGAGTATCGGGGCTCTTAGGGGCCATAGTTGTAGAGGAGTGCTAACCAGCAAATACACGAGCTACCAAAATGGAAGAAGCGATTAAACTACGTGAATAACTTATAACTTCCTCCACAGAACAATTGTAACCAAGATAATCGCCTGAAAGAGAAGGAATTCTAACCAGGAGGAAGGCTCCAAAGCCATGGCCAAACACAAATAGAATGGCATCGAGTCCTTTCAAAGCGTAGCAGCTGAAACTAATTGTTTAACCTGAGTTAAAAAATGACATCCGAAGCATAAATCATATTAAGCCGAACTTTATATCCCACAAAAGAAAGAAATTTATCACAAGTGATTGAGAGAGAAAGTGAACATCTTACTTCGATACCCGGCAAATCTACATGGAGATGCAAAGACATATGTTTCTTGGCAAGATTGAGCTTTGGTATCAACTCCTCCGCTGCTGGTCCGCCGTCAACCCCGAATTCATTGAACCTGCCAACATATCCATTATGTCACCGTAACTACAAGAGGTGACTAATGTTCAATGGGTACAGCTAATCGAGCTCTTTAGACAGTCTTCCAACTCTTACCCGTATAGGTGCAATAACTTGCAAACAAGAATGGTTGTTATAGAATTTCGGTAAACACATTCGGGGCATTGAAGCGACCACCAGATTAGACAACAAGAAGAACCCATCACATAAAATCTAACACCGGCACCGCACTTAACTATGTTACTCGGACTCGAGTGCAAGTGTACGTACATGTCCAACACAGATATATTATTCTTTCAAGCTTTTGGAGAGGCATTTGAAGAGCGAAAGCAATTAAGTTCTTGAAACAATACAATCATTTTCATTAGAACTAACCATCCAGCTCTGAACTTGCATATTTTAGGTTAATTCAACCAAAAATAAGAAGCAAACAATGCATTGTCCTATCCAGCAAATTACATCAAAACCAAGACTTACAAACCCAAAGCTCACCCTGGAGCAATCATCATTAACCAGACTTACAAACCAAGGAAAATAATGCACCAGTAACAAAAAAAAACTTCAAATCTAACAAATAAACATAATTAAAAAAACAACCCAATAAGTAAATTTAATTATTATTTAAAAAAAGAAGAAGAAGAGTGAAAGAATGATTACATTTGCCAAGCTGATAGAAGGAAAATCGAAGCAAACAAAACTCGTACAACAAATGAAGTGAAACCCATTTCCCCCTCCTTTCCTCGTCCTCCTCGCTTGGTTTCGAGCCAAAAAAAAAAGTGTTAACAGGGAAAATCTCAGGGTTTCCTTATCTCTTCTTTGCTGCAACGTGTTCCGTCAAGGAGATTCGGGGTTTTGCTTTAGGTGATCGAGGTCAAGATGGGGTCAATTATCAGTACATAAAAGAATGGAGTTATAAATATTTATTGAGCCGTGGGATGAACACGGAAATGAAGGCATGAAATTAGATCTGGTCCATCAGGATGTCATTAGTGTTTAGCATTTGATTTAATTACGTTCCAATCTTTGTAACCTTCGTATATTTAAAAATTGGTCCTTTACTTTTGATCCATGACTTTTGTAATTGAAGTTTGACCGATAATATCATCATCAAATCGAATTATGTGATATTTTTTATATATTTTTCTTATGTAGTTAATAGTATTATATATATATAATTAAATATGAGACTGTAATGCTCTTCAGACTTTAACATTGTTTTAATACATCAATTTAAACTTAATATTTTTGCTTAATTTATCTGTACATTATATAAGAGGATATGAGATCAAACATATTTAAACATTCAATGTTCTTCAAAAAAAAAAAATTGATTAAACGTTCTTCAATTTACTGGTGGAAAAAGGTATGATAATATAGATATTGTATAAATCAAATTAAAACTTACAAATATGTGAAGAGTACAAGGACTGCAAGCATAATTATACCTTGACATCAGAGTTTCGAACCTTTGACGTTATTCAAAAGGTCAATTTGTACAAATAGTTTTTTTTTTTTTACATTTTATGCGATTCTAGTCCTATCATAAATTCTTCACCATAATCTCATGAAATAATACAAACCAACGGAAAAATAGCATAACCTACGTTACTCGAGAATAACTAGGTAAATATTTACAGATCAAACACGGCCACAACCGCAGAGGATACTCGGAAATAAAACAAAGCAAAACAATACTATGCTGCAGGGGGCCTAAGCTCGTGATCTTGAGATGTATCTCGTACCGATGGAGGTAAATATTGCCACATCGGGACCAAACCGTAACTGGGAAAAATGGCCATCTTGTTTGTCCCGGGATGATATGGGGCTAGATGAGCAGGAACATACCCGGTTGGTGGAACGGTCATCGTTTTCAGCTGCTGCTCTATCCTTTCTTTATTTGCCTTCAGTACAAGCTTATCTTCTCGGAGTTCATTCTTCTTGGCCTGTTAAAAGGGTAAAACGAAAAAGAAAAAGAAGATGCTCAAATTTATGATGCAATCTAAAAGGCAAGGATCATTTGAATGTTCATCGATAAACAATTGTCATCTACATGTCAGCAGTGATTATGGTGGAGTTTCATCATGCATGCTTTCAAAGCTCAACTGGTTCAATACATGTTTTATTTGTTAAAACAGAGACCAACCTGTTTCAACAATATTGCAGTGAGAGGAACCGAGCTCGTAACGATGTACTCCATCTACATGACTAGACCAAATTGACATCGAAAAGAAAAGAAAAGAGTCGACGATATTCCCAACTAGAAAATGGAAATACATCCTTTAGAACCAACAACCAAGCACATCATCTCAAAGTTAAAATCCCCCAGAACAGAGTTCCAACAATGAGTAATATTATGAACCAACTTTCATCTAATCTAACCAATAATCAGACCTATTCTTCCAGTCATTTTAGCGTATCACGTCAGTAAAAATTATACATATCGGCAAGCAAGTTAAGAACAAATAATAAAGATCACATAATCAGTATATCAAACAATAAATCGACCCAAACGGTAATCATAAACCAAAATTTATATCAGTGATAAACACTGCACAGGGTGCAGAATCAGAAAAAGAGACCAGTAATTAATTTACTGAACATTGGACTCGATTACATATCCAAAATGATCTGAAAGTTTACCTTTAAACTTTTTATTTCCTCCAGTAGCTTTTCATTTGTTTCTTTGAGCTCCTGAGCCTCAGTTCTTAGTTGGGTCAGAACTCGGATGGCATCATCAAGAATCGCCGATTTGTCAGTCCTGGAAGGTCTCCCAGGTTCCAAAATAGAGCTTAGATCCAGAAACCTGTGAGAGTATAACACAATATGTTCCTTTAACTTTATATATTTTTACCTTCTTCAGTGTGATGCAAATGTAGCCTAAAACTATTGAGCAACCCTTAAGTTATCATCATTTCTAACAATGGAAAGAATAAGTAAAAAGAAAACTACAGCCAATAACCAAACCACTGGCTTTGCTTTAGAAGAAGAAATCGAGGATTTAAATTGCAGTCACTAATGTAGTTCTAACATGTTACATCTATCGCAGTTGCAGATGTAACATCGAGTTAAAATTGAATTAACATCACTATAAAATTGAGCGCTCTAATAAGGGAGTTATATGCCTTTCGTTCAATCTCTCCCGTCTCAATTTCTCGCGGCATGCCTTTGCACCTGACCTGCTGCAAGATTCACTGCGTCCCCTAAAATAACCCATCAAATTACACATATCATCATCAAAATAAAGAATGATATGAACAAAACTAAAATAAAAATTGGAAGAAAAAACCCCGATTTTTAGGTTAAGGCTTGTTAATTATCCACATAAGAGTAATAAAACGCGAAATTTTGGAGATTTTTTTTTCCATTTTTTGATTGCTCTAGGAACTATCCGAATCAGCCACTGCCCAGAAATATATATATTTTGGATCTGAATTTTATCCAACAATTAAATTCACAGAAAACAACGAGAAAATAGAGAGAGAAAATAGAAATAAACCGAAAAGAATAATACCTCTTGCGAGTGCAATCTCCATCGACGAATTCGTTTCCTTGATGCCCAACAGTTCCAGGTGAGAATTCAATTTCTCTACCGCTACTGAAACAAAAAGTATAGTCATAAATCAGACAAAAAAATCACAATTAATGGGAGGAAACGTAACTTTTATTAAATTGTTTTTTAAGAAAGACCTGTAATTGTGAAAAAGTAAATCCTGAGAAGTACTTTCATCGGTGAAATGAAAATCCAGAAAATCCCAGTCTTCTATTGAATCCATTTCTTTCACACCACTTCCCCACTTAATTGGCTTTCTACTTTCTTTTAGTTTTTTTTTCCCGAGAAAGTCGCTTGAAAACACTAATGCTTATATGAAAATGGGAAATTTGAATTAATTATACTATACACAACTAGCCGCCGCGACGCTGGTCATATTAGTTTAGTTGGTAGGTTGGAAGGTTACTTTTGAATGGAATCGATTGAAAATCAATACTGGCGATTTTAAAAAATAATAATAATTAGCATTCAAATTTAAATAATTTTACTTAATATTTATTTAATATAAAATAATAATAAAATGTAAAAAGAAAAAAACTAAATTATATTTTTTAAAATGTGTAAATAAACTTACTTTAATTAATAATATAAATAGGTAAAAATATGAGTATTTAATTAGTTAATTCGATAGGTGATGATTACTCAATTAACTATTTTATTTATATCATAATAATAATAATAGAATAATATGTTCATGTTATCGTGTTATTAAAATTTAACGATTCAATAATATAATTAAAGATAAAATATATAAATGATCTTAGTTAGAGGGTGTTGCTTTATTAAGTCCTCTGACTATTAAAAGTTATAAAATGATCTTTTGATCATAGATGTTATTTTGTTAAGTCTTCTGACTATTAAAAATTATAAAATGATCACTCGAGTATTTATATGTTCTAAATTTGTCTTTTTTCATTAGAAAATTGACGACCTTTTAAGTTTGACATTAATATGTTGATTGTGATATGATAAAATCTTATCCTAGAATAATTTAAGGTGTATTTTGTGTATTGGGTCTCCATTTACATTATGTCATTGAGTCAATGCTTAAAACATTTAAGTTAGTGTTTGAAAACAATGACGATGCTAGTAGACATCATTAAAATACATTTTATCATAACTTAATCAACAAGTTAATGTCAAGGTTTTCGATAGTCAATTTTTTAAAAGAAAATGATGAATTTAGAACATATAAATAATCGAGTAAATATTTTATAAATTTTAATAATTAAGGAACTTAACAAAGTAACTCTGTGTAATTAAAAGTTCATTTTATAACTTGATCTTTTAATTATAGAGAAATTCAATACTATAATTAAAAGTAAAACGATGTAAATAATACATCATCAAAATTTTAATGAATATAATTTAATTTACTCCAAAATTTTTGTACCGGGCTACAGCCCGACCCGGCTCGACGCGTTGTATAACTGTTTCAGGAATTGTTTGGATAAAGCCGAAAGAGATAGGAGGTGCTACAGGCATTGATCGGAAATGGCCGGTTCTTCCATATTCTCTTTGGTCCATCCATTTCATTGCTGCAACGACTGCAAAATTACCAGCGTTCCATCCTTACCTTTCCGCTCCACGCAGTACAACGATTATCCAATGCTAAAGAACGCTGTTTTGGCTCAAGAGGAGACCTTTCAAGTCATCAACCTTCACTGCCAAAGTTGCCCAAAAGAACGCCTTGCAGTATAGGAAGCTCGGCGACTCCGATCTTGAAATCAGTGAAATCACTTTGGGAACCGTAAGAACTTTGTTTTTTTGTTAATGGGTATTTTCAATTTTGTTCAAATATATTTTTTTCTTCTTCTTCGGTTTTGAATTGTTTGATTAAGAATCAGTAACCAAAGGGTACCTTTGTTGTTTTTTTCCTTATTGTTAGAGTGTATGTTAATTTTAATTGGTTCAGATGACATTTGGAGAACAAAATACAGAGAAGGAAGCTATATGGAAAGATATAACAAGTCAATTGCCAGGGTATGAAGTCATTTTATCCTGTTCCACTTACTATGCTTGGCTTAGTGATTGACATTTTTGTGGAACTTCAGGAAGCAACGATAAAATACATTGAAGTGGCGAAAAAGCATGGATTAACTCCGGTTGAACTCGCGCTCGGATTCTTACGGGATCGGCCATTCATGACGAGTTCGATTATCGGCGCGACCTCAGTCAACCAGCTCAAGGAAGATATCGATGCTTTTTTGACAATTCCACGACCTTTGGCTTCGGAGGTAATGGAAGATATTGAAGCCGTTTTCAAAAGATACAAAGACCCCGCCATTCTCTGAGATCAAACACTTCCAGGCATGTCATTTACTCATTCTGTTCTTTTTATTTGACCTTTTTTTTTTTCTTCCATCGTTAAAGGCTAATAATACCTTGTACTTGGTGCAATTCCAACAGTTCCTGTATCAATATTTTTTATTAAACTATTTTACTTCTCTTTTTTTGCTTTGAAGAATGTATGTATACTTTGACATGCATAACGTTATTTTGAGTATATGAATTATTTTTTGAACATTAAATAAAGTTTTCATAATTTAATTTTTTTACTTTAGGGTAAATTACACATTTAGGCGCTCAACTTTAATTGTGTTTCTATTTTGGTTATCTAACTTTAAAAATATTCAATTTTACCGCACAACTTTTGATTTTTTTTACTTGATTGTTAAATGTCTACTGTTTAAGTTTTTTGAAGAAAAAAAATCCATTAAACTTTCCTTTCAAACTCATATTTTCATACTTTTTATGATTCATTGACCTCAAAGTATTTTCTTTTAAATTCGAACAATAGGAAGATTGAGAATGAATACAATGGTAATATATATTAATTCCACAATGTTCAGACGATGAAATTGCAAATCTAGCCAATATAACGTTGAAACTTTAATTTGAGTTTTATTGATTTCAAGAAAAAAAAAGTAAATCAAGATGAAGAAATAACGAATAAAAGAGAATGCTTTAGAACCGGTTACATTACAAACGATAATCGAAGGTGGAAACAGATATTAGTCATAAAAATATAAAATAATAAGTTAATTTCATAAATAAAATTGTTCAAAAATTAAAATTTTGCTATTGATATTACACAACTAACGACTTGATGAAAAATATGAAATTCAAAAGTTGAGTTATTAAAATAGAAACACGATAAAAATTGAGCGACTAGGTTCACACTTCGCCCTCTCATTTATTAAGTTTTAAATTATACATAATTTATCACATGTTTTAATATTTACGCTATAGATTATAAAATGATATTTAAATTAAATTATAATTCAAATTAATTTCATAATTTATATTTAAATATTTAAGGGTATAATTTTGTGCTTGCAAGTGGAAAAGAGAACTTTGAAAGGAGGTTAAATTAGTTAAGGAAGAAAACATGGAAGTGTGAAAAGAAAGAGCGGAAATGTCTCGACATTTTCACCGCTTACTCTCCTCTCATTTCGCCTCATCTCCCTCACTTTTTATTTTTCTCGTTTCTCCAATGCATTTGCGGCAGACCAAATCAATCAACACACGAAATCCAACAACAAACAAATTCAAATAAATAAGCCTTTGGGATCATGTTTTTCGAGTTTGGAACTTTGGGTTCTTGTCATTCGATTATCAAAGAGTAGTGGGTGTTCTTGTTTTTGGGTGATTGGAGTTTGTGAAGAGAGGCCACATGCATCTATGAAGACAAGTTGGTCAGGGGAGTCGCCATTTCAGTACCTGATGATTGAGCGTCTTCGTTTTCGGCGGTTTCCTTTCAGTTCTTTTAAATGGAATAGCAGATCTTGTTCATCATGGCAATTTTGAACGCGACATTGAGCAAGTATTGTCTCTTTCCCCTTCGTTTTTCTCTGTTATGTTTGTTTTAATCTAAATCCTAGCCTGAACGAGAATATGGAAATATGATCTTTGAAAGATTTTTCGAATACACAAATATGTATATCTCACACTAACTTAATATATATATGAATGACGAGTAATGGTAGATGGATTCAATAGTATAAACAAAAAGAATGGGACGAATTCCCTAGAAATGAGCAAGAATTTGATGTGAATCCTATCTAGGAACCTGTATATTGACATTCTATTTATTCAAATATGGAAGCGAGTTAGTTTCGGATATGTATTTAAGATGGAAATGTTATTTTCTATTGTTTTTTTTAAGTTTTTTCATATATTTGAAATATTTTTTTTAAGGTACGTACAATGTTCAGTTATAAATTTCGAATAAAATTACTTCATTATCGTTATCTTTATTTCATCTATATTTCTAGAGATTTTGATCTATTATCACGTGTTGCTCTCTTAATTTCTCACCCTTTGTTTGAAGGCGATTATTGCTTTGAAAAAGGGTACTCGGCTTATCAAATATAGCCGTAAGCGAAAACCCAAGTTTCGAGCATTTACTCTCCACTGTGAGTTACTTTCTCTTCAATCTTTTTTCATCTCAATGTACTTCGATGGTGGAATGAATTCTTCTCAAATGATGGAAAAATGCATCGTCCATCTGTTTTACTAAGACTCAGATGTGTCATGTTAGTAGATGAAAGCATGTGACAGCTCCCTTTATCGATGTAGTCTTTATACTAGTAAAAGGAATTAAAGAAAGTCACCTTTTATAGAGTTATTATTTACTGTTAAAATGTCAGTTACAGTTTAACAGAGTTCATGTTTTCAAAACAATTTTCATGTCATTTTTAAAAGTACTCTATCAAAATTAGACTTATTTAATTTTTTATTAGTATTGAGATTAAATTGGTTCATTTAATAATAAAGGGACTAATTTGAACCAATTCCTATGATAGAGGGACCTGGCAGGTATTTTCATCCATGTTAGTATGTACCATATACGAGTATGTTCAATTTTTTTTATGTTCATATATGTAGAGGATCTGTTTATGCATTGGACATAAGAATTTTAGAAAAATGAAAAGAGTCGGAGTAACATAATTATTCAACCTTCATAGATTCACCTTCATGTTAGATATGTATTGGACATGAGTTATTAAGAGAAAATGAAATGAATAGGAGTAACATAGCTATTCGGCCTTTGTAGTGAGGGATGGAGCCAAATGGTTGGTCTAATTGTCTCTTAATTTTTAAATCAGATAAGTATTGGCCCTTCCAAATATTTTAGGCCTAATTATTTTTCAAGTCTATCCTAGTTTTGAAACTAGACATGTTAAGCCTTGGCTTCCCAATTTTAGGGTCAAATTGCTTTTCAGGCCCCTCTTAGTTTTGAAACTATACAAATTAAGCTACGATCCACAATTATTTTCCGTTTAAATATTTCTTAGACCCCCATCAATTTCAAAATTAAGCAAATTAGACCATAGCCCCTAATTTTAAAATTTTAATTGAAGACTTAACAACTAGCCTCTAACCCCATTTTTTATTATTTACATTCAGAACCCCTAAAGTTTCATCCCGGCTCCGTCCTTGTTTGTATACAAAACGGTCTTGGTGGATAGTTGGCATCTTAAGTTTGAAGAACAACTGTGGATGAATTTTTCACATAACTTCATGTCGAAATTATTGTTTGAACGAGTACAATTAAAATTCTTACCTTACTTGAAATACTATGCAAATAAGCAAGATGGACATTTATTTAGTTCTAATTTTACATAATAATACATATACATATATACATGAATAGATGTTGATTTTATATTAGGAGACGAATTTATAAAATTTTAAAGGAAAGTGAACTTAAAAAATTTCAAAGATAAAAATAAATTATCAATAAAAAATATAAAAAAATATATATAAAAGAATTTAAAATTTTTAGGTGGGGTAACTTCTCCCACCCACCCTGTCGGTCCATTCCTGCGTATATCAATGTTTGCGTGTAAATTCTCTTATACTTCCTAATTTCTGTTGTTTTCTACTAGTAAGCATCCATTACTAGAAAAGCATATGCAGTTTCTCTCTCAGTAATCTTAAGTGCATATATGATTTCAGTTTTAGCTTTATTAACTGAATGAAACAACATTAATATGGTTATCGCATGGACAAGAGAAGAATCTGAAATTAAGCTCCGTCTCTCGTATCGATCCTGGACAACGAGCTGTAAGTTTAATTCCAGTTTTTTTATTTTTCCAGTTAATGGTGAATGTTGCCGCGTATTTAGTTTTTTTTTTTTGAGAAAATAACTTTAGTAACCGAAAATGTCTTATAATATACGATTTTAATCAAATTTTTTTATTTGTAAAAATAACCAACAAAATCGCAATGTGATTTCAAATTCGCAACGCGAACTTCTATTTTGCAACACAGTTTCCAAATTCGCGTTTCGAATTTGGAAATTTTCGCAACGCTAATTACCGATATAGGTAAACACGGTAGAAAAAAAATCGGTCAAAAATCCGAATTTGCCAATTTGAAAACTAAGTTGCGAATTTGGCAAATTCGTGTTGCGAAATATAAAATCTCGCCTCTTAAAGAAAAAATCATTTCGACAGTTCGTTTGTTTGGTTAAAGTTAAACGAACGAACGAATATGAATATACCCTCGTTCATGTTTGTTCAATTCCTTTACAAGCGTAGGTTTAGCTGAGTGATTCATATGTGGACTTAGCAACTGGGATGTTCCAGGTTGAAAATCACTCCGGTGCATTTTATGTCCTTTAATTTTTTCTTTAAGAGGCGAGATTTCACATTTCACAACACGAATTTGCCAAATTCGCAACTCAGTTTTCAAATTGTCGAATTCGGATTTTTTACCGGATTTTTTCTACCATGTTTACCTATATCGGTAATTAAGTTGCGAAACTAAATTCGCGTTACGAAACTAAAATTCGCGTTGCGAATAGTTGTGTTTACCTATATCGGTAATTAGCGTTGCGAAATAGGAGTTCGCGTTGCGATTTTGTTGGTTATTTTTACAAATCTAAAAAAAATTGTTAAAATCATATATTATAAGATATTTTCGGTCACTGAAGGATTTTTTTTTTTGTCATGCCACTAAGATAACATGCAAAAAAAATAACACCAGTGCTTTTCAACTTCTACAGGCTGTTTTAAGAAGATTTTTGCGCCCAGAAAAGGAGTACTTCTCATTTTCACTTCTATATACTAAGGGTCTCTCGACTTGGTTAGTACCAGTCATTAGGTTATCTGCTATTTTTTCATATTCAGCTGAATGGTAAATTTGAATCCAGTGATTGCAATTGTCTACCTCCATAGATCTGCAAGGACAAAGCTGAAGTTGAAGTGTGGCTATCAGGTCTTAAGGCATTGATCGGACAGAATCAAAAGAGACGAACAAAAAGGGATTTAAGTGATGTGAGCTCTGCTATCTACATACATACGCATATAATAAGTCGCTTGTCGCATGTATTGAGTTAGCAGACCGACCAGTATTTCTCGGAGAGTTCATTTACAATATAAAATATTTGTACTAATGCATCACAAAGGACATAAATTGCATTGGTTATGGTCTTTTCGATGATACATGCAGCGTGAACGTCCATTATAGTTACAAGAACTCGTGGATTGTATGGCTACATTTGTTGCCCGTTCTTTAGATTGGAATATTTTCCGACTTCCTTTCATGTCTTTTGTGACTGCTACAAGAAGGTTATTTATTTCAAAATGGTCGCCTATTTGGTGCTCTAGAGTTCAGCAATAGTATTTCCAGTAGTGTTGCATCATTTGATATTGGAACCCCAGATGCGGGGTCAGAACGTGCAAGTATGCAGATGAGAGCTAGTAATGCAGATGGTTTCCGGATTAGTGTTTCAAGCACTCCTAGCTGTTCAAGTGGTGGATCAGGGGGTCCAGATGATATAGAATCATTAGGTGATGTTTACATGTGGGGAGAAGTATGGCCTGACGGATCAGATGGGCCTGCAAGCTCAGTTTCTCCAAAATTGATGTGCTAACTGCTAGGCCCTTGGAATCGAATGTAGTGCTTGATGTTCATCAGATAGCTTGCGGTGTGAGACATATTGCTCTCGTAACAAAGCAGGGTGAAGTTTTCACCTGGGGTGAGGAATCAGGAGGAAGACTTGGTCATGGAACCGAAAAAGATTTTAACCACCCCCAACTAGTTGAGTTCCTGGCAGTAACTAATGTGGAATTCGTTGCATCCAGAAAATATCATACATGTGTTGTATCCTCAGCTGGTGATTTATTCACTTGGGGTGATGGTGTTCATAATGCTGGCCTCCTTGGTCATGGTACCGACGTCAGCCACTGGATCCCAAAGAGAGTTTGTGGTGCATTAGAAGGACTGCAAGTCTTATCCATCTCGTGTGGCACTTGGCATTCAGCTCTGGCAACTTCTAATGGCAAGCTATTTACATTTGGGGATGGAAGATTTGGTGTTTTGGGCCATGGAGATAGAGAAAGCACTACATATCCAAAAGAAGTACAAATGTTGAATGGACTAAAGACTGTTAAAGTTGCATGTGGAGTATGGCATACCGCAGCTATTCTTGAGGTTTCAGGCCAGTCCGGTGCTAACATTTCATCAAGAAAGTTGTTCACCTTGGGTGATGGGGATAAACACCGGCTAGGTCATGGAAATAAGGAAAGTTACCTCCTTCCATCCTGCGTCTCTTCGTTAATTGACTACAACTTCCATCAGCTAGCTTGTGGACATACTATTACGGTTGCACTTACTACATCGGGTCATGTGTTTACCATGGGTGGTACTGCATATGGTTAACTAGGCAACCCAAGTTCTGATGGAAAATTACCGTGCCTGGTACAAGATAATCTGGTAGGTGAATTTGTCAAAGAAATTGCCTGTGGGGCATATCATGTTGCTGTACTGACATCAAGAAGTGAAATATTCACATGGGGAAGAGGTGCCAATGGAAGACTAGGACATGGTGACATAGAAGATAGAAGAACTCCAACATTGGTCGAATCATTGAGGGAAAGGCATGTCAAAAATATATCATGTGGTTCAAACTTCACTTCCTGTATATGCATCCATAAATGGATATCTGATGCTGACCAGTCAGTTTGCACCGGCTGCCGGCAGGCGTTTGGCTTTACTAGAAAGAGGCACAATTGTTGCCATTGCGGACTGGTGCATTGCCATGCTTGCAGTTCAAAGAAAGCTTTGAAGGCAGCATTGGCTCCAACTCCAGGAAAACCTCACCGTGTCTGTGATGCTTGCTACGCAAAACTTAAATCTGCTGAAGCTGGTAATACTTCGCTTTTGAATAGAAAGTTTGCTGCCCCACGGTCCTCAATTGATGGCAAGGAAAGATCTGCCGATAGAGGAGAGATAAGGTCTTCCAGGCTTTTGCTTTCTCCCAACACAGAACTGCTCAAGTACCTTGAGATAATGTCAGGAAAACCTGGGTCTAGAATCGATGCTTCTCAAATGCGAGCTTCCCAGGCTCCATCACCTTTACAGCTTAGAGAGGCTCCAATTTCAAGTTCATTAGTTCCTTTTCAAACTGCTTTTAGACCGGCTACACCTCCTGCAACGCCACCACCTCATTCCCCTATGAACTCGAGATCTAGTTCACCGTACTCAAGGCGACCAAGTCCTCCATGCGGCACAAATGCATTTTCGAAAAATGTTATTGAAAGCCCCGGGAGGTCAAATGAACACCTGAACCAAGAAGTGTCAAAACTGCAAAATCAAGTACTAGTGATATTATACCTATTTGCTGTTCTGTTATGCTCATCCACTGCTTGTGTTATTCAGGCAGCCTGCCCTCAAAACTAATTTGTTTTTCTCTCCTTTCGAGTGATTACAGGTCAAAAGTTTGAAGCAGAAATGTGATACACAAGACGTGGAGATTCAGAAACTACGGAAAAATGCTCAAGATTCCGCCTTGTATGCTGTAAGAGAATCATCCAAGTTTAAAGAGACCAAGGAAGTTGTGAAATCCATCATAGATGAGGTACATCTAATTTAACTCGCTTAAATTTTCAGTTTGCCACCAGAAGCAACTCATGCCATCTACGATGATACCTACTGATAAATACAATTTGATATTGTTCTACAGTTGAAGGAACTATTCGAGAAGTTGCCTTCTGAGGTTTCTGAAACTGAAACCTTTAAAGCTATGAATACTCAAGCTGAAGCATTCTTAAGCACTTATGGAAAACCTGATGCTTCTCTGCCAGCAACCATTGAAAACCAGGCGGCAGAAGGCACCACAGCTACTGTCCCATCTAATGATAGTAGAAGTTCCAGAGAGGCTGCAGCTCAACCAAGCTCTGGTGAACTTACCGAGCAATTCGAACCCGGAGTCTACATCACTTATGTTAATCACCAAAATGGAGGGAAGATCTTCAAACGAGTTAGATTCAGGTACTTGACTTGATTTTACTGAAATTTCCAGATGGCTATTCATTGCACAAGCTTTGAAATAGCTCCCCTTCTGTCCTACACACTCATCACAAATACATACATAACCGAATGTACCATCAACATAAACACAAACCCGGTGAACCAACATTTCTACTCTACTAAGAAACCAATATTGATTATCATATATAATCGTTAGCCTTGTAATGACTCAACGTTTTTGCAGCAAACGAAAGTTTGCAGAGCAACAGGCTGAGGAATGGTGGAGCAATAATAAAGATCGGGTGCTTATGAGGTACAGCAAACCATCTGCAGCTGTTGGTGAAACCACCGACAAGGCATCCCCTTCCCAAACTTAGTTTCATAAAACTCAACAATGTAAAGTAGAGAAAAATCAAGCAGCTATCTCTGTTTGCAATTGCAGCAAACATCACAGATCAACAATTAAGATATGCACTTTAATTTAACCTGATTTTGTTACCAGGTTGATCCAAATTATTAACATCGAGTAGTAAGATTACTTTATAGAAACAAAAATATAATAAAATGGGAACAATTTTATCCCAGCATAGTGCTAGTGGTTTCCTTTTCCTGTATAATTAAATACCAGAAGTTAAATAAGAAAAATTGCATCAAGCAATAACATTGATAAGCACCATCTAGCTATAAAGAAAAACATGAAAAGAAGCTGCAGAATGTAGATGACAAAAATAGAAAAATCCATGATTCAATATCAATTCAAGATACATTCTCCTTTTTCAGCTTAGCAAGCTCTTGCCTAACGACTCCGGCCCTCTGCAAAACAATATATTACAGCTTTGTCAACTTCAAATTTCTAGAAAGCGTTATTTGCAAAGAAAACAAACATAAAACAAGTAGATGCAATAGTGGGTATCACAAACTGACCCTGATCTTAGCCAACATTTGCTTGAACCTATCAAAGTCATTGAGAGATGCCCTTCTCTTCTGGACAATCAGCTTTCTACCCCATGAGCTATTTTCCCATTTGGTCTTGACATCTGCAAGACAACATAAAACTGATTAGAAAGAAACATTACTTCGAGAAACGATACTGCAATGCTGGTAAAAACTATCATCCTTACCAGCCTTCTCCATAGCTTCAATCAATGTCCTCTTCTTTGGAACACGGGGAATGTCGATAGTGATATCAGTCAACGTAAGCCTCTTGAAGTTCATTTGGCCTCTCATCATATCTGGGGCATCAACAAGTGCCTGCCACATCAAAAACACAAGCACTGAAGCTCCATGTTGGCAAATATCACCTACCTAACTTCAATCTACTCAATGATTCTATCTTTCAGTGGCTGATAAAGCTCCACATTCTATCCGTTCTCTAAGCTAACACTGATCATCAAGTACAACGGCATGCATATATACCATAATTAACAAGTCAAAACAATAGTGGCGTATCAAGAAACATCCACACCTAATCAGCATAGAATTAGACTGATGTTCTCCGAATCTTCATTTTTCTTCCTGAAGTACCTTCATATAACACATCAAACCCCTGGAATCCGAGGTGCATAATGAAGCCCCGACCCTCCAAATAAACAGTAAAACTCAGCACATAAGCTTAAATCATACTAATATCCATGTATCCAACACTCCTCCCCAAGTGTAAAGTAAACATTGAGTTGGCACAAGTCTTGAAATACCAAATGACTTAACATAAGGCAGATTCATTTCTGCAACGATTTTCCGATGAAATGAATATTTCAAACTAAAGTGCACTCAACAAGACAAACACAGAGAACCAGAACAAATACCCAGTTTGAAAATCCAATTAACTTAGTATAAGAAACAAAAATGCATTAAAAACCCTAAAAAACCATGATGTACCATTGAATTTCCCCTTAAACACCCATTACAACATCAACCTCAGAAGCTAAAAGCCCAAATTCCATTTCATCATCACAAAACCCACAGAACGCCTAAAAATGACAACTTAAAAGGAAAACCAATACTGTATTAAATCTGGGAGGGGTGCATACTCTACTCTGGTCGACGACATCAACGATGACAACCAACTTGCCGTAGTCTTTCCCATAGTTAACGAGAGCCACTCTCCCGATCTCAACGTACCTCTTGAACGGCTAAAAAGAATCACGGAAAAAATTAAATGAAAATAAAAAATAAAAGATTGGGAAACGTGAAAATATGTAGATAGTACTCACCATTTTTGATGTTAGTGTGTGGGAGTGTTGGAGCTGATAGAGAGGCGAAGAGGGAACTATAAGAGTGGGAATTAGGGTTTATATTATATGCTGTTTTGATAGAGTGCTCATATCCGTTGGATCAACTAAATTACTTTATTTGACCTATTTGTAAATATTTCATCTATTTATAAGATTTAATTAATTTCAAATTTTCAATTATTATTTACAACTAATGTAAACTAGACTATGGATACTTTTAATTCGGTAAAATACTGATTTATTATATTTAAAAAAAAAAACTTAAAAACATTATTATCAAAAATTTATTTAGAGATTTAAAATAAATAATTATCAAAATTATTTTTAAATATTGACAATTTTAATTATTTTATTTTATTTTAATATTATTAATTGGTGACAACTATCATCTGTGAATGATTTTAATTTAATTATTACCTTTTAATTATATAAATTAAACTAAAAGAAATTTAAAACTATTAGAATTAAAATGATTTTTTAAGAAATTTTAAATTAAAAATATGCATTTAACTTAGCTTTTTAGAAATAATGTACAGGACTAAATGTGAGGTGAAAACTTTAAAATGCTATAATTTTATGTTTGGATGGTTAGTTGAGATAATTTTTTGGAGCTTTAAAAGTTTTATGTTCTTTCTTAATTTTAAAGTTTTGTTATTTATTAATAATTTTATTTTTATTTTTTATTTTTTCAATTGTCGTATTTAAATCAATTTTTATATGAAAAATATATCATTATTCATATAGATTTAATATGTAAATGATAGAATTCAATAATTTATTAAGATTTATGTTAAGTAACGTTTGATTGTAGTTTCATATTAAAATTAAGATTTGGAGTGGTGATAGGGTAAATAATTTTTTATTATTCGACTCTGGTTCAAATCCTGTATTTTTTTTTTAGAATTACTCTAAATTTCAGTTTCATCTAAATGAAATTTGAATATGAAAATTTGTAGACTAAGCACTGAAAGTGGTGAAACCAGGCAACATTAAAAGTTGTGAAACCTTCATACATAACATCCAACCAGTCTACCGGATACAAACATTATTCATTTATATATATTATATATAACATATATATTTTCTTATTCTTGCATTGCAACATAACCATCGACTAAACACAAGTAGAGACTAGAGCAGACAGGTTGTGTTCGAAACACTGGTAGCAGCAGCAGCAGTTTGATCCAGCCGGTTGAATCTGTCTACGGTGATCGTCATTAAAGCCTGATTATTTCCGGACCAATATTCAACACGAAGCTCATTCATCATTGAAGGAATATGCCGATGGGAAACCTTTGTACGGATCTCCAAGTGTACCGAAATTGCCGGCCCGCGAAAATACAACCTGCATTCGTTCATAGCAGCAAGTCTAAGGATTAAAATCTTCCACGTACACATGTAATGAAACAATACATGGAAATCCTTGTTGTTTGACATGAGTAAGTAGTCTAAGACTATATAATATAGTATGATTGTATGTATGTATGGAATTTACCTGGTAATCTATCAGGGTTCCGGTCTTGAAACCAGCAGCACAGTAATCAAAATAGTATTCCCATGTCCGCATGAACTTGTCGTCGAATCCCAGAGCCAGAACTTTGCTGAGGAGGAAAACAAAATATGTTCATCGTCGTGAACTTCTCATGCCATTCAAAATCGGCACAATGTGTAGGAGGGGAGAGTTGCTTAAGTACCTTGTGTTTTCCAGGAAAAGTTTTCGCCACCATCTCAGTGTGTGGTAATAACTGATTCCGATGTTTTCGACATGCTCCACACTGCACTCGTGCAATAATCGTTAATCAGTTTCTACTGTCGAACAAAGAAAAATGCATGGTTGATCGTCTAAACAACGACAGGTGTTACCTGAATCTTGTTGCATTAGCCATGGCTGTCAAATTCCTGTCCAAAGAAAGCAGGGTTCCACCAGGGAAGATATATTCCTTTAGGAAACCTGCTGTTTGCTGAATTTCCTTGGAAAGCTCCTCTGGAATTGATATGAACTGAGGAAAAAGAAAAACAAAAGACCACTCTTGGACATCAATGAATTGTTTTGGCCTAATACGAAGGTGAAAGTTCTATTTCACCATTTTAGCATTACCTGAAGAACGAAAAGTCCATCTTCCTTCAATAATTGGTCGCAGCATCGGTAAAACTCCTCGATATATTCTTCACCAACATGTTCTACCATCTCTCTGAAGAACATAATAGCAAAATGTTGAAACTATTTGTCATGTAATTACTAAATATAAGTTAAAGAAGTGGAATTTATAGCTTACACAGATATGATTCTGTCAAATTGGTGTTGCTTAGGTAACTGGCGATAGTCGCAGAGAAGTATTTTGATTTTATCCTGATGTTAAGAAACTTGTTAGCTATGGGAAACAAGGTGAAAATCAGAATTACTTGCAGACAGAAGCTGGGTTTTTTCGGACATGGATACCTCAAGTCCAGCTTCCTTCACTTTTTCTTGAGCATATTTCAGTTGCTGCTCTGATAGAGTGATGCCAGTGTATTTGCATCCTGTTCTTTTGACAGTTTCAATAGCTAAGCTTCCCCAACCGCACCCAATGTCGAGAACTTCATGTGACTTCTCTATCCTTGCCTGCGTGTATCAGAGAACAACACAATCAAATAAATGATCATAGCAAAAGAAAATGAAGAATGATGATGAGACCATCGTGAATGCTCACTTTCTCAATTAGAGAACTGATTTTTCTTCGCTGTGCGACGTCCAAATGCTCTTCTCCCGTCTGTAAAGTAACTTAATATCAATGTCACAACGCTAGAAAAAGATAAAATCTGAATGTTCATGCACTTTTAGAGAAACTCATAAGTTTAGATCCTGACCCTAAAAACTCCTGAAGAGTATTGCATCATTTTACCCAAGTATAGAGTGAAAAGCTCGTTGCTCTGCAAACAAAATTTGCGGGGAAATAGTTAGCTTTGATTCGATAAATCCTGTTGGAAATAGCCTTATTTGTGGCTAGTACATATTAACACCTTAGTAACATAGTTCCTTAACAAAGAGCTCTCTGGACAAAGTTTGCAGTTTGTAATACAAATAACTTGTTGGAGGGTGAATAATGCATATGTTGTTATGAAACCTTGTAATCAAAGTCATGATTACTTACCAGATCATAATGACGAGCAATGTTCCTACGAGCCTGCGTAATGGTATTTTGTCTCATGAGATGCTTCACAAAATACTTTGCCGATGATATACTAGCTGTTAACAGTGCAGGCGACCACCAAGTCCTGCAACCAATTAAATGTCCGTGTTTAACAAACCGATTTTGTTGATGGATTCTACTAGTATCACAATCGAGATTCTTCTTCAAGCTAACAACAAACCTTCTTTTATTTGACGTAGCTGAATTCTCTTTATTGGCAACGAGTATCTGCAAAGTTGTCAATGAAGGTATTATAAGTAAGATAAATTGTACTGTATTTATGGGAACAAGTCTCGAGAACCTTTTCTTACCCGGAAAAGATTTAGAAGACCTTCCTTTTCATCGACAAAAGAAAAATCGCCATTGATATATGCATCTGCAAGGCCTATATCAGCTTCTTTCATAATCTGGGAGAAAACACATCCAATGTTCATCAGCACTATATTTTAATAATAACAACTAATCCAACTTGATCAGAAATTCAAGTAGATTTTACCCTCCAATAAAACTGAGGATTGTGCACTTTCAGTACTGTTTTAAGAGGACATATTTCCATGTTTCCTTTGAAAGAGAAAATTTTGCCTCCTTCCTCTAAGAAACTGGAGAATGTCACACCGTAAATTGTGTCAAATTCAAGAAGAAGAAAAAACATGCACTGAAATAACAAAATGCTGAAAAGATTGAGTGATTATCTTTAAGAACTCACATTACGCAGCCCACAGATATATATTGTTGAAAGAATTTAGTAACAAAGAGGCGTGCCGTTGTTTCCATGAAAGACGGTGCCATATTCTTTGGACTGTGCAGAACATAAGACTTCTTTCCCAAGAAACCATGAGCAGCATCCAAGCCAGCCTGCGAAAAAATAGCTCCTTATAAGAATGCTTTGTAAGTTCTTGTAAGTTCATTGCAGCCTAAACTAAAGGCATTTATAAGATTGAATCATTGTTGAAGTTATAAATAAGCTGAAATTATAAGATATCTACCTTTAATTCATCCTCATGGAGGCCATAACCTGAAAGAATCGCAAACAAATACTCAGATGAGAGGCAGTCAACATGATGCACCATTTTCGTATAATGACAATACTAATAAAATTTAACTGTCTAGCTAATTAGCACAGCACACTGCCAGCAGCGAGAATACTTAACTGATAATAGACATCTATTACAAGAGTACCGAAAGAGCAATTACTTCTCTTGAAATGGATGAATCTCATAATACTATAGCTCAAAATGTTGAGTAATTTCATGGAGGAAATATCTCACCACAGAACCAGATTCCTCTCTTCCCTTGAATTTGACCAAACTCAAGAGAAGCTTTTGAGGCAGCAACAGAGGGAATTGCATAGCCAGTCGACCACTTAAGTAAGGTTTTCTTTGGGGTATGGTCTGGGTTGACTGTCACAAAAAATGGCAGACTAGTTTTCTCAATTTTCTGAAAAAAGTAAGAAGAACCTGTCAGCAGCGATGCTCGAAGTTATAACTTGATAAACAACCAAGTATTTTAGTAATTTTGATGAGATAGATGGTATATGACAGGTTTAACATCTTGTTTACTCGAAGAACTTGTCGCATACCTGCAGTGCATCAAGCCAATACGTTAAGCTTGCTTTATTTTCTCTAGTATTGAGAAAATTCAGTGCACCCCAAGCTGATTTGTTTTGTGGCATTAAACTGCTGTCCTGGTGAAGGTACATATCACTGCAAACAGAAACAATTGATCAGTTTCATGAATTTTAGTAAGCTCTAGAAGGTCGAAGTTCCTGTATTCTAATGAATTTTGACATCTTAAACTATATCAAGTCATCGTTTACCGATATCAACTTCCTTATATGCATATTAATTTTGAGATACAGGTAGGAACAACATTAAGTATATAGATCAAAGAGGGAAAACAAGTTCTAGTACATTGAAGAATATTGGACTGCACCC